TGGAATGACGGGTGCATGCGGAAATGTGCGGGAAGGCGAAGGCGGTATGCGACTGGACCTAGTGCGCGCTCAATGACGAATGGACCAATGAAACGTGGACGAAGCTTGCTGTCCTGTGGCAGTCGGAGGTTGCGGCTATCCAAGAGAACACGGTCGCCGACTGCGAACGACACCTCACGACGACTGCGGTTGGTGGTGCGTGCCATGCGTGCATTTGCGAGCTCAAGGTGCTTCCTCACGTGATCATGAATGAAGGTGAGATGCTGGTGGAAGTTGTCCGCACGAGGGACTGTGGGTGTGAGATCGACACGAGTGGGGACATTGGGGTGCTGACCGTAAAGTGCAAAGAACGGTGACATGCCTGTGGCGGAGTGGTGCGTGTTGTTGTAGGCGAACTCTGCCATGCTCAGCTTCTTGTCCCATGCGGCTGCGTCGTGCATCGTGATGCTGCGAAGGATCTGCTCCAAGGTCTGGTTCACACGCTCGGTCTGTCCGTCTGTCTCTGGGTGGTACGCAGACGACATGGCTAAGCGAGTCCCAAACAGTGCGAAAAGCTGCTTCCAGAACTTCGAAGTGAAACGAGGGTCGCGGTCTGAGATGATGGAATCTGGAACCCCGTGCAGTCGGACTACGTTATCTACGAACAGCGTCGCGGCTTCCTCTGCTGTGACCTTGCCGTGCGTGGGGATGAAATGCGCTGCTCGAGAAAACTTATCCACTACTACGAAGATGGCGTCGTGACCCCTAACTGTGCGCGGTAAAGCCATGATGAAGTCCATGGTAACTACCTGCCAAGGGCGGTCGGGCGGTGGAATCGGCTGCAAGAGTCCTGCTTTGCGCTGGCGAGAGGACTTCGTACGCTGACACGTGTCGCACGAGCGAATGTAATCCTCTACGTCTGCTGCAAGCCCGGGCCAGTAGTACGTGCGACTAAGCGTCTTAGCCGTCTTATCTGCTCCGAAGTGCCCTGCACTAACTACGTCGTGCGCCTCTGAGAGAAGGAGCTGTCGAAGAGGGCGGTAGGCTGGAACCCAAATCCGTGTGGTACCCTTCCGTATGTAGACACTACCCTGCACCTCTGCTCCTGCGGGCGGCTGCGGTGTGAAGTCGGGATCTACTGTGTAACCGTGCTCGAAGAGTGCTGTGAGAAGTGGGTGGCCAGCAGTGACTGTGAGACTGGCGAGCTGACAACTAGGGCGAGTGAGCGGATCTGCTGGGTTGCGCACGCCTGGCTTGTACTCTATCCTGTAGTGAAAGCTCCCTTCCATGAACTCCATCCACCTAGCCTGGCGACGACTCAGCTGCGGCTGCGACTTGAGGAAACGAAGCGAACAGTGGTCCGTGCGTATAACACTATCTGCCCCCTCTAGGTAGCACCTCCACACCTTATACGCATGGATGATCGCGAGCGCCTCCTTGTCGTGTATGGGATAGTTCAACTCCGCTCCCCTAAGCTTACGCGACTCGTACGCGATCGGCTGCAACCCGCGTCCCTGGTCCTGAAGAAGCACTGCTCCTATGGCCTGATCGGAAGCGTCGGTCACTACAACGTATGGGCGAGTGGGATCAGGGTACGACAGTGTCGGTGAAGACGTGAGCGACTGCTTTATCTGCTCGAACGCCTGCTGCTGCGCTGGACCCCAAACGTACTCTACGCCCTTCCGAAGTAGGTCGGTGAGTGGACTAGCGATCGATGCGTAACCCTGAACGAAACGACGGTAGTAGTTCGCGAAACCGAGGAAGCTCTGCAACTCCTTGACTGAGGTCGGTGCTACCCAATCCTGTACTGCTGCGATCTTCTTCGGGTCAGTCCTAATGCCACTACCGGATACGACGTGTCCTAGGAACTCGACCTCTGGAAGGAAGAACTCGCACTTCGACTGCTTAGCGTATAACTGCTCCCTCCGTAAGACCTCGAAGACCTTCTGCAAGTGCTGCACGTGCTCATCTTTCGTCTTAGAGAACACTAGGATGTCGTCTAGGTAAACGACAACGAACGACCCTAGGAACTCGGAGAGGACTGTGTTCATGAGCGTCTGAAACGTCGATGGGGCGTTGGTCAATCCGAACGGTAGAACCCTAAACTCGTACAACCCCTGCTTCGTACGAAACGCCGTCTTGTGCTGGTCCTCTAGAACTACTCGAATCTGGTGGTAACCCGAACGAAGGTCGATCTTTGAGAAGACTCTAGCGCCCTGCACTGCATCGAGAAGATCCTCTACTCTCGGCACCGGGAATCTATTCTTTACGGTGGCGGCGTTCAGTGCGCGGTAATCTATGCACATCCGTAACCCTCCGTCTTTCTTGGGTGCGAAAAGTATCGGTGCGGCCCAAGGCGATCTAGATGGCTGTATGAAACCCTGTGCGAGAAAATGCCTAACTTGCTGCGTCATCTCCTCTGTCTCCGCTGGACTCAACCTCCACTGCGGCTTCGCTACTGGCCTGCTCCCCGGCTCCAATTCTATTCGATGGTCTACTGCTCGGCTGGGAGGCAACCCTGGGGGCAACTCGTCGGGGAAGACGTCTGCGAACTCTGCTAACAGTGCACTCACCTCAGCAGGAAGAGTCGCCTTTTCACTAACTGCTGCACTCCCTCCTTTCCCCTCCTCAGCTTCCACCTCCTCAAGAAAAACCGCGAAGATCCGTGCCGCACGCTTCACTAACTGTCGCACACGAACAGCATTAATGATAGCTGTGGATGATGTGGCCCCATCGCTCCACTGTGGCAGCTCCCGGAACTCCCCGTCTACCTTGACGCTGCAACTTCCCTGAGCCCAATCGAACTGAGTACTAACCGTCCGTAGCCAATCTCTCCCGAAGATAAAATCGTATCCGTCCAGCGTCGCAGAGTCGAAATCACGCCTGACTGTGATCGGTCCTAGCACTACGCGCAACTTGCGGATGATCGGTCCTATGTGAAGTGGCGTCCCATCTACCATGCGAGCGTCCTTGAAGTTGACTGCTGAATCTGCTTCGAGATGGAGACGAGAAACTAACGATGAAGAGACGAACGAGTGGCTAGCTCCGCTATCTACGAGAATCTTAACAGGAACTCCGCGAAGCTTCCCTAGAAGCACGACTGGACGATCAACAGTGTCTACCTCGTTCTCCGTAGATGACTGCTGCAAAGCCGTCTCCTCTACGTTGGTAGACGTGGCGGGTACGGGAACCTCCACACCAGCTAGCGACCCGCTATCTACTGGCGGTTTCCGTTTCCCTGCTGCCGCTACTTAAGCTGTGGGCAGTCTCGCTTCATGTGTCCCGGCTTTTTGCAGTAGTGACAGTCCCCCCTAAATCCCATTTTCTGTGAGCCGTCACTGTTAACTGCACCAATCTCCATGGGCGATGGTCCGTCCCTCGATCGAGCGTCGTTGATCAGTCTGTTGTATCCCCTATCGCGATCGTCACGACCCCGTCGGCTTCGTACTGCGTCGATGTGTTCTGCTGCTGCGACTACCGACTCGAAGGTGGACAACCCGTGAATCGCAATGACTTCCGCTATGTCCGGCTTCAACCTTTCAAGGTAACGATCGCGCATCTCTGCTTCCGTGATATCGTCTATCTCGTTGCAGATGCTCAAGAACCGTCGTGTGTACTCCTGGACGTTGCCTATCTGTCGGAAATGACGCAGACGCTTCCTAGCAGCTTCGGAGGCGTTCACCAAATCGAACCTACTTTTCAGCGCCGCTTCAAATCCTTCCCATGTGGTCGGAACCGTGGTAACACCCAAAGCTAAACTCCCTAAGCTCGAAGTTGCAGCTGCATGCCCCACGCCCTGTTGATGCCCGTCCGTCTGAGCCCTTCTTACAGCAGTTTGAGTGAGTTGGCGCCACCACTCCAAGGCCGGGCCCCTCAGCAGTGTAACAGCGTACTCGATCCGCTGCTGCGCGTCCGCCTCTTGCACCCCGCTCGCGGCGAAGTAGTTGTTCAGCATGAAGAGCCACGTCCGCACGTTCGCGTCGCGTTGACTTGGGTCGAACGACTCGGGTTTCTACGGCTTGAGTGCGCTTCGACGTTCCGGCAGCGCTTCCGCGCCAGTCGACGTGTTGGGCGCAAGAGTTGGTGTGGCATGACCATGGGGGTTAGAAGCCAATTCACGAAGCTGTTGCATTTCAGCTCGTACCTGTCGATTTTCCAGCGTCAACTCTTGAAGTTGGCGCATGAGTTCGGCAAGCGTGTTGCCCATGTCGTGGGGGACTGCGTGCATGGTTTCGTCCATGTTCGCTCAACGACTCCAAGTCTGCAAGTCGGCATCGCGGGACGATGACGTCGTAGTCTCGTCGTCGACGGTCGCTCGTTGGAAGTCGCTCCCCGCGAAGGCTCTGATACCAAGTGTTAGGCCCGACGGCCTAAGTCCGCTAAAGAATTAGCGGGGTCGACTAAGTCGAGGATGAAACGCGGCGGAAGACTTTGGCGAAAGAACTATTGGCGAAATAGGCGAAGAAGTTACTGAGTAATTGAAGAAGAGTTGAATGAGAATTGATTGATAATGGCAAGTACAAGCAAGGTTTATATAGCATGCAAGAAACAAGGTTGGAAAGTGGAATGTGGGACCAAGAATTGGAGTGCAAGAAAAGTAGAGTGCCACGTGGCACTAGAGAATCTGAGAAGATAAGGATAATGGTGACTAGGAATGTACTGTTCGGAATGAACAGTAAACACCCTTCTAATAGTAATTCTAGTATCAGAGGGTTCATTATCATACTACTAGAAAGGCAGGGCGGCACTTCACTAACAGATGCTTACGTACAGGAAGTCCTTCGCGCAAAAATCGCAGGTTCGCTCGTCAGTACTGGTCCGTTGTGGTGTAGTCATCAATCAACTCCTCGCCCTCCTCCCTTCAGCTCGCGTCATCACCTCCTTTACTTCTGTCCCAGGTTCTCAATCTCCAATCTAGGTCGTTTGCTGAAAACACACTCCTCGCGTTTCCTTTTCGACTTCAGCCTTCATCGTTATCGAATCATTTGTCCTTTCGATCTATCTATTTCTTCTGACGTCCCATGGCCGACACTGAAACCCTACCGTTTGGTAAGCGGAAAGCGGACCAGCCTGACGGCGTGACTGCTGAGAATGGCGCCGCTGACGGCGACGACGCAGATCGCGCGGGGAAGCGGAGGCGGTGGGACAGCGGTGCAGATGGGGTGCAGAGCGGCGCTGACGGCGGACAGAAACTCGCGGAGGGTGGCGGAGGGGGGGGTGCCGCTCCCGCTGCTGGCGGAAAGAAGGTAGGATTGGCGGTAGGTTTCGAACAACTCGCTGATTGTTAGACAGCTTGTGGTGATATAATTTCCACTTATCATGACTGGTTCACAGGGAATCCATCGTATTTGTTAGCCGATTCGCGCTGATTATCGCCAGGGCAGTGCTGACACCAGGGGATTCAATGCTCGTTTCCGTTTGCATTGGCTGCTGAACATACGTTAAATCTCGCCATGCTCGCGTAGAGGCGATCGCGGTTGACCACCTCGCAACCTGCCTGCAACCATCCATCCATCTGTCCGCCCGTCTGTCCATTCCTCCCTCACTCAGGTACCGAGCGTCTCGCTGGATGCTCTGGCCAAGGCGAAGAAGGCCCTGCAGATGCACAAGGAGCTCAAAGAAAAGCTCAAGAAGCTTCCTCAGGTGGGTTCCCAGGTGCTTCCTCAGGTGCGTCCTTAGGTGGGTTACCCAGAGTTCCAGCATTCACCGGATGGCTCTTTCGTGGTTCAGTATATGCTGTTTAGGACATATTCAGAGCTTTATCGTCGCCGTTGGGCCTTTATCTTTTCTTCTTTATTCATTCCCTTCAAACCCTAGTCAACCAGTTGGTGCCCGTTCGGGTTTGGCTTGGCAACGACATGTTTCACCATGCATGTCCCCAAAACCCATTCTTTCCCCCATTCCACTTACTTTGCATTGCAGCTGAGCAAGGCAGCGCCACCCGCAGCCACCGTAGTCCCCACTGCAACAGCAGCCGCCGCTGCAGCCGCCGCAGCAGCAGCGGCCGCGGCAGCAGCAGCAAAGGGGCTACCAGCGCCTGTGCCCGTGGTGGTGCCGGTGGCCGTCCCTGGCGTTGGAATCGTGCCCATAGTCCCGGGCGTTGCTGCTCCTCCTGGTGCCGCCATTCCAGGAACCATTCTTACTCCAGATGTAGCTGCGGCAGCGGCGGCGGCTGGGGGCAGCAGCAAGGTGACGCGGGCGCCGGTGCTGCGGTTGGATGCGATGGGGAGGGAGATAGACGAGCATGGCAATGTGGTGGAGCGGCCCAAGATCGCCCCCGTCAGCACTCTCAAGGTGGGTGGGTGGTTCGGCATTCTCAAGGTGGCTGTGCTGCACTCTCACAGTTCTGTGTGATGCACCCACAACGTGGATGCCATCTTGTGCTCAGAGCTGGGGGAAGACCCCTATGACAATCCCTTCTTGGACCTGCGCATGCTCCCTCACTCACTTCCGCTATCTCACTCACTCGCTCGCCCTTTCCCGCTCTCCCGTCCCTCCCCCCCCCCCCCCCCCCCCAGGTGAACATTAACAAGGTGAAGAAGGAGGCGTTCAAGATCCTGCGCCCAGAGCTAGAGGAGGACCCGCAGGACAGCCCCTTCTTCCACCTGTGCTACTCCCTCACTCACTTCTGCCATCTCACTCACTCTTTCCGCCTCTCCCACTCCCTTCCCCCCCCCCAGGTGAACATTAACAAGGCGAAGAAGGAGGCGTTCAAGATCCTGCGCCCGGAGCTAGAGGAGGACCCGCAGGACAGCCCGTTCTTTGACCCGCGCATGGCCAGCGAGCGTCTCAAGCTGGTGCGGCCGCGCAAGGCGTCCTTCCAGTTCGTGGAGGAGGGCACCTTCGCCAGGCAGGCCGAGACCATGCGCATGCGGGTGAGTGAGAGCAGGGCGTGTGGGTGAATGAGGGGATGAGGGTGAGTGAAAGCACTTCTGAGGCGCCTCAAGAGCCGCTTGAAGCTGGTGCGGCCGCGCAAGGCATCCTTCCAGTTCGTGGAGGAGGGCACCTTCTCCAGGCAGGCTGAGAGACCATGCGCATGCGGGTGAGTGATAGCAGCGGCATGAGGGTCACACCATGCACAATATTCTAGGTTTTTTCTCCTCTTGGGCCTTTTTCTCCTTCTTGGGCACACTTCTGGGCTGTGCATGAAGATGCCTTTTAAGCATGACCTGTGCCATCCATCCCTTTCCCATCATGAACCCCATCCCTACTCTCGTGCCTCGTGCACGTGCTGGTGCGTGCCACTCTCTGTCCAACCCCCCTCATCACTGCAGGCGCAGTTTGGCATGGCGAGGCAGATGGAGATGGCGGCGCGGCAGAGGGCCAAGGAGAGGGAGGCGGCGGAGGGGGGGGACAACCCCAACCTCGTGGAGGTGGGGCAGCGCCCCGTGGCCCCCTCGGAGAAGCCCAAGCCGCCCATTCCCGACGTCGAGTGGTGGTGAGTTCCCTGCCTTGCCGCCTCCTGCTTCCTTGTGCTCCCTCGTGCATTATTCCCCATGGCTGCTTGCCTCTCAAAGTTTCACTGGCCTGCAGCTCTACCTGGCTCTTAACCCCACTGCTGCCCTTTCCCTCGTCGCACTATCCTCCCCTCCCCTCCCCCCACAGGGACGAGCTCATCCTGGCATCCAACCAGTACCCCGAGAAGGGTTCTGCCGTGCCAGCAGCGCTCAAGGCATCCAAGATCACCATCAACGTCCAACACCCCGTGCCCATCAAGCCGCCTGATGCACCCTTCCCTCCTCTCCTCTTCCCCCTTGCCCCCACAGGGACGCGCTCATTCTGGCCTCCAACCAGTACCCTGAGGAGAGCTCTGCCGTGCCAGCAGCGCTCAAGGCGTCCAAGATCACCATGTACGTCGAACACCCCGTGCCCATCGAGCCGCCGGCAGAAGCCCCGCCGCCGCCACCGCAGCCACTGCGGCTGACCAAGAGCGAGCAGAAGAAGCTGCGGACGCAGCGGCGCGTGGCGCGGGAGAAGGAGCGGCAGGAGATGGTGCGGCAGGGCCTGCTGGAGCCTCCCAAGCCCAAGGTCAAGATGAGCAACCTCATGCGGGTCATGGCTGCTGAAGCCACACAGGACCCCACGAAAATGGAGAAGGAGGTGCGTGCTGCGGCGGCAGAGAGAGAGCAGGCTCATGTGGACCGGAATCTTGCGAGGAAACTGACCCCGGCGGAGCGGAGGGAGAAGAAGGAGAGGAAGCTGTTTGAGGAGACACTAGGGGGAGGGGTGGGTGGCGGGGGTGAGACGCACGTGGCGGTGTTTAAAGTGCGGCATCTGCTGCACCCGCAGACGCGGTTCAAGGTGGATGTGAACGCGCAGGAGAATCGGCTCACTGGGTGTGCGTTACTGGCTGATTCGTTTGTGTTGGTGGTGGTGGAAGGCGTGAGCAAGTCGGTTAAGAGGTACTTGAAGCTGATGATGAGGAGGATTCACTGGGCGGATGCTGTCGCTCCTGGTGCGGCTGGGGAGGAGGATGAGAGTATGGGGGAGTTGGGGGTGAAAAAGGAGAACAAGTGTGAGTTGGTGTGGCAGGGTACAGTGGCCCGGGCCGCGTTTGAGAAATTCACAGTGGAGCAGTGTCGCTCAAGCGCTGCTGCGAGGAAGTTTCTGGAGGATCGCAAGGTTGCACATTTTTGGGACTTGGCGGAGAATTTATGTGAAGACTGATGGAGCCAAGTGTTAGGAAGTACCATTTGAATAGGAGGATATGTGCATGCTCGTCCTATTAACGAAATAATTTGGCCATGCAATGACAATGTTTGATGATGTTGGATCACATTCAATGGTTATGGAGAGTTTCGTGCCGGTTGTACTGTTTGCTTGGAATAATAGTCTTTAGGCGTGTACTGCATGGAGCATCTGGTCCATTTGCAATAGCGCATCATAGCCCTCGAACTATGTTGCCCTTGGAGTTTTTTCTCAGATGCAGTCATTTACAAATGTTGTTCCTAGCCTTGCTCCTCTTCATTCTCTTTCGCAAAACCTATTTCCTCGATTTCTCCACAGCTTCTTACTTGACGAAGCTTGCTAGGGTTTGGCGTTAACCAGCCGCAATGGGGAGAGGTGACGACCCCGAGAGGTACGAAGACGAAGGGCCTTACGAAGACGACGAGGAGGAGTACGAAGGCGGCCCTCGCGACGCTAAGGATGAGCCAGACGAACGCGACGACCGTCGCGACGTTCGCCTTGACGATCGCCGCGAGAGGCGTGGTAGCCGCGAGGGACGCGAGCCCCGTGGCTCCCGGGAGCTCCGTGGGCGGCGCGACGAGGATGAGGAAGAGGAGGGCGACGACGAGGAGTATCGCGACGATGAGGTCCGTTGATCGATTACCATCTCCTGTCGATCTTCGTGCGTGCACTGAAGAATGTCCCTCCGCCTAATGCAATTTTATCCGCTTCCATCTGTTATTTTTGAAGTCCCTGTCGTGCTTTCTCAGATCTATATTTTCACGCCTGAATTTGATTTGGAAAATGACCACAACAGAGACCCTTTGGATTTAGAAGTGTGTACTTTGAAGTCCATTGACATGTATTTGCCTCCCTCTTTGTTTTAAAGGCAGAATATTAGGTCAATGCATTATCTTGATTGTTCTCAGCGGCTTCATTTATTCTTACCGGTATTGGTAACTTACTTCCTCAATGCACTGTCGCATTCCGTCGCTCCCATTCGCAGCCGTCGTACGACGACAGGGGGCCAGAGCGCGCCAGACGTTCGCGAGGAGATCGCGACAGAGGCAGGGGAGGGGCCAAGGATGAGGAGGAGGGGAGCGAGGAGGACGAGGAGGACGACGAGGAAGGCGGGGGTAGGGACGTCGACCGCGACAGGCACAGGGACCGCGATCGCGTGAGCCGCGAGAGGCGGCATTCGGATCGCGGCAGGGGAAGCGGGGACAGGGACAGAGATCGCGACTATCGCGACGACCGCGAGTATCGCGACAGGGACCGAAGCCACCGCAGGGACAGAGACCGAGACTATCGCCACCGGGATCGCGACCGTGACCGCGATAGGTAGTTTCTTCTTTCTTTCTTTCTTTCTTTCACCCACGAGGTTTCTTTTCTGCGTCGTCCGCATCAGTCGTACTCTCTTTTTGCGCCTTATTTTGTTATCTATCTGTGCGCCATGCAACATTTTTCGTATTTGTACTCGGACATTCTCTTATTTCATATCGTTGATTCATTCTTATTTTCTCTGTGGATTTGATTCTGTATTGGCTATGGCAGGCGCAGCAGGCGTCGCGATCGCTCTCGCTCGCGGTCTCGTTCGTATTCAAGGTCGCGCTCTCGCTCCCGTTCCCGAGACAGGGAGAGACGCAGACGTGCCAGCGGGTTCGACATGGGTCCTGGGCCTTCTCTCGCAGCTGTGCCAGGGCTAGCAGGTATGCCCGCACACCCGCGCCTAACCGCCTCATCATCAGCCTCTGCTGCCACTTTACCTTGGCTGTTCTAGCAGTTTACGGTTTCTCTCTTTGTATTCCACGCGGACTCACTTCCGTGGCTCGGTTGTCGTTGTCTGCTGTGGTGGTTGTTGCCGTGTGTGTCTCCTTCTCCTTTTCCCTTTCCTCTGCTCTTGCTTCTTGGTTGCTCGTTCGGCTGTGTGTGTCTTTATGGGCCGCTTTTAACCCCTCCACCTCCTAACCGCCTCACTTCGGTGATCACCCCAAGCCGGCCTGCGCCACCTCTCATTCTCCCCCCTCCTCCCTTCGCCGCTGCTTCTCGCTTCGCATTAGCACAATAATTACAAGGGTAAATCCCCAATGCCTCTGCTTGAGCCTGTGGCCTTGGAAGGATCACAACTTTTTTTTGGAAGGGTGGGGGAGGGTTGAGACGGAGTATGTGGTTTCGTAAATTACTCCTCACGTGTTGAAGTAGTTGATTAATTCTTGTGTTTTTGTTGAATTGTTTTGTTTTTCATACACATCCGTCCCTATTTTCATGCACCCCATGCGTCGTACTATGTTTCTTGGTTTGGGCCTCCTCTCTTGCTCTATGGTTGTAACTTGTGCTGTTATCGGGGCATGCTGTAACGGGTCCGTGAGCAGGCCTGCTTTCTGGAGCCGGGGGAGCAGCGCCGGCAGCAGCACCAGCGCCGGCGGCAGCAGCGCCTGCGGCTGCTGCGCCTTCTGTCGGAACGCTGCCTCTCACGGGCGTCGCTGGTAAGGCAGCATGGCAAGCAGTCCTAGAGCAGGGTTTCGGGTGTGGAAGAGGCTTTTGGTGTGTGCAGCGAGTTCAAGTTGCGTTCTACTCAGTGCCTCCATTGCCGCTCCTCCCGTCCCACCGTTCTCGCTCTGCTCTTGGCTCACTGCTGGACCACCCGTTTAAAAAAAGGAGTGTTTTGAGACGTCTCAAAACACTCCTTCTTTCACGTCACTGCTGGACCACCCGTTTCTTTCACGCACCATGTTAGAAGGCTCGCACAATGCAACACACCATGTTTGGAGGGCCTTTAAAGGTCTCTGTGTCTCCTCTCCACCCGCAAACACACCTCCGTATCCCCTGTCTTCTCTTACTCCGTGTTTTGTGCCCGTCGGCTCCCCAGGCGCCATGGCAGCGGGTTTCACGGGGCTGCCAGGCATGCAAGCAGTTCCCGGGTCGATGTTCCCCAACATGTTCCCGTTTGCCGCCGCCGCCGCCCAGGTAACTACAAGCGCTGGTAACCGCATTTATTGTTAGCTGCTCTCTGCTGCTTGTAACCACTGAGGCCCTCAAGGTTAGGCTCGCGATGTCATGCAGGCGTAAACTGGCTGGGCTGAAGTGGGCTGACTGCTGTAAGCTAGGTGCCAGGCGGCCGCATGATGCTTTATGACTTGATGCGGACAGAGCCACGCGTCTCTGACACCCGTTTCACTCCTGATGGCCCCATTTAGTGCAGCAGTGCGTCGTCTCGGGATGTTTGTTGGGATTTTCGTCTCCCATGGTGGTACTGGTACAGGATAGGTTGCTTCTGTCTTTTCACGAGGTGTAGCTTTTGTTGGACGGCCGCATGATGCGTTGTGACTTGATGCGGACAGAGCTCTTGATCTCTGACAACCGTTTCACTCCTGATGGCCCGCTAGGTTCTCAGTGATGTAGCCCAAACGCGCCGCTTGATGCGTGGGCGTGGTTAGAGGATAAGCTGATGTGCGCTATCTGTGATGAGTTGCTTCTAGTAGGCCGCATGATGCTTTGTGACTTGATGCGGACAGAGCCACGAGTCTCTGACACTTGTTTCACTCCTGATGGCCTGCTACGCTTTCACAGTTGCACCAGCTAGTCCCTGCACTTGCTCCGTCTAGACCCTTTAGTTGAGGCTGTTTGGTTCAGGTCAACATTCCACAAAAGCCACAGCGTAACTAGATTTGAGGCTTTTACGGTTTCGGGTGTGGTGAGCTAGTTCGTTGCCTCGTGGTGCATGGAGTGTACCCTTGTGTTGCAGTGCCACGTGATGCTTTGTGACTTGATGCGGACAGAGCCACGAGTCTCTGACGACTTTTATCACCCCTGATGGCCCACTGCACCACCTTGTGCTCCGTGCATTTGGATCTCCACGTCTTTTCCTCGCGTCCTCCGGTTTCCTCCCTTGCCCGTCTCGGTCTGCCTGATGCTGGTTGATAGCACCGTGTTCCGGCCAACGTTAAGCCCTTCCTCTGCGCCCTTTCTCGGCCTCCTCTTTCTGCCTCTATCCCCATCAGGGAGGAATGCCAACGCAAGCCACTCGCCACGCGCGCCGGGTGTATGTGGGCGGCCTCCCGCCCATGGCGAACGAACAGGTATGGGTTCACCTTCTTGCCCCAATGTTTCATACTTGGCGTTTCTTCTCCTGCTTCACTCGTCCCCGTGCACATCTCCATCTGCCCCTCGCACTCTCACACCTCTCCTAGCTGCGCCCGCCCTTCGCATTCAGTCACCTCCCCATGTCCTCGCATCCCCTTCGCCCCCTGCGCACCATTATCACCTCCCTTCCTGTGTGTGTGTGTGCGCGCGCGCCATCATCAATCCCGTTCCCCCCTCCGTGTGTGTGCGCGCGCCATCATCAATTCCTTTCCCCCCTCCGTGTGTGTGTGCATCAATTCCGTTCCCCCCTCCGTGTGTGTGTGTGCACGCGCCACCATCAATTCCGTTTTCCCCTCCGTGTTTGTGTGCGCGCGCCACCATCAATTCCGTTCCCCCCTCCGTCTGTGTGCGTGCGCGCACGTGCCCTGTGCAGAGCGTGGCGGCGTTCTTCAACAACGCCATGACGCTCGTCAACGGCAACACCGCCGGTCCAGGTACGCTGCTGCAGCTGAGGGCGGTATATGGGGGGGGGGGAGAAGAGGGGTGGGGTGGGCAACAAGGCCGTCCCAGGTTCATTACTGCTGCTTGCGGAAGGGGGAGGGGGGGGTGGGAAGGGGCAACACCTTTGGAGCAGGTAAGCGGTAAGTGGCGAGCAATCAAGAGAGAGAAGATTGCGCACGATGTGAAAGATAAGGATTGAAGAGAATTGGATGATTCAACTATGAAAGCCTTGGGTTTACATAGTAGGAAAGAGAAGAGAGGTGGGAGCCAACATTATTGGAGGCCCACCAATAAGTTGGGTTGGGAATTATTGGAGGGCCTCCAATAATGTTAACCACTCTTGAGTTGGGTCAACACTATTGAAGGGGGACCAATAATGTTCCCAACCCAACCTTTGGGGTCCAATAATTTGGACCAAAGGTTGGGTCTCAACCCAATTTTAGGGGTAACCCTAGCTATACGCCCAACCAGAGGTTGGGTGCTTATCTCTACCTGATCTAGAGAATATGAGTGCAGGTTACAAGAGAAGGATAGTTTCTAACACAACCCCTTAACCTGCAGGAATGGAGAAGATCAGAAGAGACAGAGGGTTACAACTCCAGAGTCAGGGAGCGCCGAGGGGAGCAAGGCCGATGAGGCGAAGGAGAGTAGAGTGCGCAGGGCGGAGAAGCGCCTTGGTGAAGATGTCGGCCAAGTTGGCCTCGGCGGCAATCTTGCGAACGGCAACAAGACCTTTCTGGACCAATTCGCGGATAAAGAAGTACCGGAGCTCAATATGCTTGGAGCGGCCATGGAAGACGGGGTCCTGGGTAAGATGGATGGTGCTGGCATTGTCATACCAAAGAGTAGGGCAGCGCTGGGGGGCGCCGAGCTCATCAAGGAGAAAGCATAGCCAACGGCACTCCTGAGCGGCCATGGTGCCGGCGTAGAGTTCGGCCTCACATGAAGAGAGTGCAATCGCAGAGGAGCGCGTGGAACGCCAACTGATCAGGCCGCTGCCAAGTGTGAAGCCATAACCCTGAGAGGAGCGGCGGTCGGGTTGTGAGTCCGCCCAGGAGGAGTCGCTAAAGCCAGCGAGGAGGGGTGGAGAGGAGCCGCCAAGTGTGAGGGCGTGGTCCTTGGTGCCACGAAGGTAGCGGAGAACCCGTTTGGCAGTGGACCAGTGTTCCTCAGTGTGGCGGCCGGTGCCCACAAACCGAGCGAGGACACTGATGGGATAGGCGAGATCGGGGCGTGTGCACATCATGGCGTACATCAGGGACCCGACAAGCTCGGCATAGGGACGGGAGGAGGAGGAGGGAGAGGTGGGCGGCGTCAGCTGATGACCGAAGGGGAGGGGGGTGGAGACGGGTTTGGCCTGGGCCATCTCGAATTTCTCCAGCACCTGGTCGATGTAGTGAGATTGGGAGAGGGTGATGGTGCGAGCAGCTCGGTTGCGGGTGATGGTCATGCCAAGGTAGTTTTGTAGCGTGCCAAGATCTTTGCACTTGAGGCGCTCCTGCAGTGACCGCTTCACCTGTACCATGTCTGGCTTAGAATCGGCAAGCAGGATCATGTCATCAACATAGACTAGGATGAAGAAGCGACGGGGCGAGGAGCGGATGAAGAGGCTGGCGTCGGAGTGGGAGGCAGAGAAGCCGAGGGACCGGAGAGTTGCGGACAGCTTCGCATGCCATTCCCGTGGTGCCTGCTTCAGGCCGTAGACCGGGCGGCGTAGTTGCCACACAGTGTTGTCGGGGAAGGAGGCATGAAAGCCGGGGGGCCGCCGAAGGAAGATGCGCTCGTGCAAGTGGCCTTGGAGGAACGCGTTGGAGACATCCATGGAGTCAATCTCCATGTCGTCGCGTGCACCAATGTCAAGGAGGGCACGGAGGGTGGGTGGCTTGATGGTAGGGGGCGCAGGTGAACCAGAAATCCTTTGCCCATTCCTGGGTGAAACCCTTCGCAACGTAGCGGGCCTTGTAGACAGGGTCCCTAAAATCCCGGCAGCTGCTTGACGCGAAAGATCCATTTGCCTTCCACAAGGTTGGCATCGGCGGGGAGGGGAACGTCGATGAAGGAGTCGTTGCGAATGAACGCTTCACATTCCAGGAAGATGGCGGCTATCCACTTGTCAGCATCAGGACAGGTGATAGCTTCCTGGAAGGTGGAGGGGACAAAGATGGTGGGAGCGGAGACGGCGCTGAGGACAAGAGCGCCAAGGAAGTTGGGATAGAGCGGGGCGAGAGAGGGAGTGTGCTGCTGGACCGCAATAAGCTCCTCGTGAGAGTCCTCAAGGAGGTGGAGAGAGTTAGGGGGCGGGGTACCAAGGATAGGATCAAGGGAGCGGGTGTGCATGCGGGGGAGGAGGAAAGGCGAGGAGCGAGCAGTTGCCCTCTGCTGCTGCCGCTGCTGGTGCTGATGGAGCGCCTGCTGCTGCTGCTGCTGGTTCTGGTGCTGCTGCCCCTGCTGCTGCCCTGGCTGCTGCTGCTCCTGCTGCGGTCCTTGCTGCTGCTGTGGCTGCTGCCCCTGCTGCTGCCCCTGCTGCTGCTCGTGCCGCTGCTGCTGCCCCTGCTGCTGGTCCTACTGTTGAAGCGGCTGCTGCTGCCCCTGCTGCTGCCCCTGCCGCTGCCCATGCTGCTGCCCCGGCTGCTGTCCCTGCTGTTGCTGCGGCTGCTGCTGCTGCTGCTGCTGGTGTGGCTGCGGCTGCTGCTGCTGCTGCGGTTGGGAGGGAGACGGAGGGGAGGAGGGGGAGGGGGCCGTGGAGTGGGCGGGGGATGCGGGTTCAGCAGGATCGTAGATGTCTGCAGATGAGGGAGGAGGTAGTGGAGTAGGGAGAGGTGGCAGGAGTGGTGCAGGGGGGAGGAGGGGAGGAAGGACAGTGTCGGCCCAGGCGAGAGGGCGGGAAGGGGGAGGGAGGGGGTCAGGTGGGGGAGTAGAGTAGTAGGGGATGGTCTCATCAAAGACGACATCGATGCTGCGGATGAGGCGTCCGGATGGAGGGTGGAGGAAGAGGAAGCTAGGTGAGTCGCGGTTGTGTCCTAGGTAGACACACTCCAGAGCGCGAGAGGCGAGCTTGCCTTGAGTGCGATCGGGAGGAGGAATGAGGACGTAAGCCTTGCAACCCCACACACGGAGGCCTGCAGCGTCAGGTTTGGTGCCTGACCAGAGTTCCGTGGGGGTGGTGGCAGTGTGGTGAGGGTGGGAGTGTAGGTTGAGGAGGAGGGCAGCATGAAGGAGGGCATAGCCCCAGAAGGAAGGAGGGGTGGAGGCATGAGCAAGGAGACAACGGGCGATTTTGGTGATTTCGCGGATGCGGCTCTCTGCGACGCCATTCTGCTGCGGGGAGTGGGGAAGGGTGTGAGTCTGTTGAATGCCATAGGTGGCGTAGTAGTTAGAGAGAGTGTGATTGAGGAATTCGCCCCCACCGTCAGAGTGGAGGCGGCCGATGGGACGTTTGAAGTGGGTGCGGCATTGTTCAGCCCAGTTGATGATCACAGTTGGTGCCTGGTCCTTGGTGTGGAGGAGGAAAATGGAGGAGTAGCGGCTGTGATCGTCAACGAGGACCAGCATGTAGCGATGGCCCTGGCGTGAGCGGGTGGGAGAAGGGCCCCATAGGTCCATGTGGACGAGGTCAAGTGGGGCAGGAGCGAAGGAGGGATGGCTGTGATGAGGGGATTGCTTGAGTTTGCCGTGGATGCATGAGGGGCATGGGGGAGCGGAGGAGGAAGGAAGGGGAGGGAGGGTGGAGGGGAGGCTGTGGAGGAGGCGGGAATTGATGGCAGTGCGAAGGGCTGTAAAGTTGGGATGGCCGAGGCGGTGATGTAAGAGCACAGCAGGATGAGAGAGATGATCCGAGGAGGAGGGGGCTGGGGGGGACGGGACGGAGGAGAGGGGGGGAGGTGGGGGAGTGGTAGATACTGGGGGAGTGGTAGATACTGGGTGAGTGGAGGTGCCGGCACGGGTGGTGACATGGCAGAAGGAGGGACGAGGAATGCGAAGTGTGTAGAGACGAGTGCGAGGGCAGAGGGGAATGCGCTGGAGGAAGCGACCAGAGGCAGTATGGTAGAGGTCACAGTAGGTTGCGTAACCAGGATAGATAGCGGTGATACCTGCGTGTTGGAGCTCACGGTGGGAGATAAGGTTGTTGCGGAGGGTGGGAATGTGAAGACCAGTGACTTTACCAGAGGGGAAAACGGTGCATGGTAGAGTGGAAAGGTGAGTGCAGGGGATGGAAAAGCTGGCGTCAGCGCCGTGTACCTGAGTGGGAATAGGTAGTGGGGTGAGGGTGCCGGTATCTTTGAGTGCGGTTTCAGTGGCCCCACTATCAAGGACGAAGTCCAGGGTGGGGTGAGTGTGGGACATGGAGTACTGGAAAGTAGTCTCATTAATGGAAGACGGGTACATGGAAGGAAGAGACGGAGTGATAGCAATGTTACCAAGGAAGCTATTGTGCGTGAGAGGAGTGGCCACACCTGGGGGGGGAGGGGGAGGGGCGCCCCAGAGGGGAGCGGGGGAGGTCTGAGCGGCAATGGCAGCCGTTCCAAAGTTCATCTGCTGCTGCTGCCAGGGCGCGGCTCCAGGTCCCCATTGCGGCCCAGGTCCCCACGGCTGCTGCTGCTGCTGCTGTGGGAGCTGCGGCTGCTGCTGGTGCTGCAGGAACTGCTGCTGCTGCTGCTGTAGGAGATGCTGCTGCTGGAGATTGAGGTATTGTTGGGGAGGCGCAAGTAGGCGGAGGTGCGAGGGTAGGTAGGCAGGGCTGGTCTGGATGTCAGTGAGGGAGGGGCGTGGGCTGAGGGTACCCCAACGAGGAGGGGTGCCGACGTTGCCTCTCTCAAACCAGGCATCATCAAGGGCTTTGAAGCAGGTAGTAGGGGGGTGAGTCGTTTGGCCACAAGGCGTGCCAGCACGGGGACCATGGCGACGAACGTAGGTGCAAGGTGGGAGAGTGCCCGGCCGATTTCCCCGTCCCCCAGAGGAGCCGCCAAGAGAGGTGGTACTGTTCTCATCACCTCCACGTCCTGCACTGCTGCCCTCACCACGTCCGCCACCACCCTTGCCCCCGCCGCCCCCTTTGCCGTTGCCCTTGCCCTGCTTGCGCGGCTGCGTGGCGTTGAGGGAGGAGGGGGAGGGTTGAGGGGTGGTGAGATTGACGACTGGGGTGCGAAGTTTGACTTCTGTGTCGATGATCCACTGTTCGACGGAGCCGAGGTCGGCCATGGGGTTGGCCTCAGTGAATGCGTGGAGGCGGGATTCATAATCCGGAGTGAGATTGAAGAGGAGGCGGTGAATCTGTAGAGGTGCGGAGAGGCCGGCCTGTCGGGCGTCAAGGTGGTCAGCTACTTCGCGCATTCGTCCCACATAGTCAACAGCACCATCACAAGTAGCGAGCGTGATGGAGAAGTATTCCTGAAAGAGAATACCGACGGAGCTGATATCACGACGTTCGAACATGGCGTGTAGTTCCGTCCAGATCACAGAGGCGCGGAGTTCCCTGGCTTGGAAGCGGCGCATGAGGGTGTCGGGGAGGGCGCCGAGGAGGACGGTGCAGGCGCGGTTGTCAGCAGCGGACCAGGCAATGAGTTTGGGGGTATAGGTTGCCATGTCAGCGTTATACTGAGTGACGACCGCAAGATGAGCATCTCGCCCTACGACGGCTTGTGCGTAGGCCTCGGCTGCTGCGTCGTAGTCCGCCTTGCGAATGAGGTACTCACGACGTTGGTGGAGAAAGGTTTCATCGGCGGCAGCTTGGAGTTCGGGGGTGGAGGCGATGTGGAGTTGAGGTTTAGGAGGAGGATTGCCAGGAGGAGGGGGGAGGAGAGGAGGGTCACCGGGATGATCGGGCGCAGTGGGGGGGAGAGCCTGAGGGCGGCGGAGGAGGACATCAAGGACGCAGTAGGGAGGGACCCAAGCATCTTTGAGAACTCGACGGATACTCCCCACGAAAGAGTGCCAGTTAATAGCGGATTTGTCGGCAGCAAGTTGAAGCTTGTCGACGGAGGAGGTGTCAATGGGAGGAGGAAGGGGGGTGGGGGGAGGTGACGGGGTAGCCATGGGTGACGACCGCGGGTGGACCCGCAGCGGTCAAGGAAAAGGCACGGGCGGCGGCGGCGTGGAGGCCGCGGCGGCGGAGGCGCTGGGACGCAGCGGCGCGGGGCCGCGGTGAGGGAGGGCGCGGGCTGCGGCGGCGTCGAGGCCGCGGCGACGGAGGCGCGGGGACGCGGCGGCGCGGGGCCGCGGCGAGGGAAGGCGCGGGCAGCGGCGGCGTCGAGGCCGCGGCAGGGGAGGCGCGGGGACGCGGCGGCGCGGGGCCGCGGCGAGGGAAGGCGCGGGCAGCGGCGGCGTCGAGGCCGCGGCAGGGGAGGCGCGGGGACGCGACGGCGCGGGGCCGCGGCGAGGGAAGGCGCGGGCAGCGGCGGCGTCGAGGCCTCGGCGACGGAGGCGCGGGGCCGCGGCGAGGGAAGGCGCGGGCAGCGGCGGCGTCGAGGCCGCGGCGACGGAGGCGCGGGGACGCGGCGGCGCGGGGCCGCGGCGAGGGAAGGCGCGGGCAGCGGCGGCGTCGAGGCCGCGGCGGCGGAGGCGCGGGGACGCGGCAGCGCAGGGCCGCGGCGAGGGAGGGCGCGGGCTGCGGCGGCGTCGAGGCCGCGGCGGTGGAGGTGCGGGGACGTAGTTGCGGAGGTGCCTGAGGCGCGGTGGCCTTAATGGTGCTAGGAATAGTGGCGGAAGGGCCGCGAATGTGGAGGGGAGATTGGCGGCGACTAGGTGGTCGCGGCGGCGAAAAATAATCCTGAGGGAAGGGTGGGCCCTTGGGAAGGAGTTTGGAGGAAGTTAAGAGTAGGCCTCGAAAGAGAGCTCTATACCATGTGAAAGATAAGGATTGAAGAGAATTGGATGATTCAACTATGAAAGCCTTGGGTTTACATAGTAGAAAAGAGAAGAGAGGTGGGAGCCAACATTATTGGAGGCCCACCAATAAGTTGGGTTGGGAATTATTGGAGGGCCTCCAATAATGTTAACCACTCTTGAGTTGGGTCAACATTATTGAAGGGGGACCAATAATGTTCCCAACCCAACCTTTGGGGTCCAATAATTTGGACCAAAGGTTGGGTCTCAACCCAACTTTAGGGGTAACCCTAGCTATACACCCAACCAGAGGTTGGGTGCTTATCTCTACCTGATCTAGAGAATATGAGTGCAGGTTACAAGAGAAGGATAGTTTCTAACACACGAGCCGCGGGTTCCACTTCACCACCGTCCATTCCTCGTGTACTCCCGTTGCGCCTCTCTATTGTGGTATGCTTGTGTCAACCACAGCTTGAGCCTCGGTTAGAAGGTGTCTCCTTGCTTCTTCCTCCTCACCCCAACCCACTTCCCGCTTCTCGTTTCCCCCTCTTCCCCTGGGCCTATTTTCACAACGAGCTTGCCCGCACCCCCCAACCGCCCCACCCCCCCCTCCACCCCTTCTCTATTCCGTCCCATACCCACAGGCGACTGTGTGGTGTACGTGTACATCAACCAAGAGAAGAAGTTTGCCTTTGTGGAGATGCGCACAGTGGAGGAGGCCAGCAACGCCATGGCGCTTGACGGCATCAACTTCGAGGTGCGTTCCAGGCCATCCATTGCACCCACCCTTGCCACTGTCTCACATCCACATAGCGTGTCCCGCTTTCTCTCAGCCACGCCCCTTTTGCCAGGGAGCTTCAGTGTGTATGAATTCAATTCTTGCCTCCGCATTTGATTCCCGTGCATAAGTCACACTCCATCTACTTGTGCACTCCGCCCCCCTCGCCTCACCTCTACCAGGGAGTGTCAGTGAGGGTGCGGCGCCCCAGCGACTACAACCCGTCAATGGCGGCCACGCTCGGCCCCACACAGCCCAGCCCCAACCTCAATCTTGCTGCCGTCGGCCTCACTGCCGGGTACGCCTTCCACCATGCCGGTCTCAGTGCCCTCTTCCGTGCCTTCTGTTTCTTTGTTTCTTCCCACCTCTCCTCCTTTCAACACCCCTCTCCCACCCCCCCTTTCCCTGGTTTGCATGCCCTTTTTTTCCACCCTTCCTCCTTTGGCACCTAAAAGCCTAGACTCTGAGGCTGTTTGACAACTTCCTGTTGCTCTGGATTGACAGTGTGCATGGCACAACCATGATGCTTGTTCTCTTTTCGTAGCCCTTCCGTCACACCACCTTGCCTCTTTCCTGCCAACGCCATCTCTTGCTCCCCGCAGTGGCTCGGGCGGAGCGGACGGTCCAGATCGCATCTTCGTGGGTGGGCTGCCGTACTACCTCACAGAGGAGCAGATCCGCGAGCTGCTCTCCTCCTTTGGGTCTGTCTCCCTCTTGCCTTAGTGCAACACACAGCCAGCCGTCCATTCCCACCAAGCCCTATGTACTTTCGTATGTCAGTTTCACATGCGAGCCGTCCGCCTCTGTGGGCGCGTGTTGGGATGAAGGATCAAGACACAGGAGCACTACCCTTTTTTCGTCTCTCATTCTTCTCCATCCCGCCCCTTGCCCCTCCACCCTCCCATGCAGTCCTCTACGGGCGTTTGACCTGGTGAAGGACAGGGACACGGGCAACAGCAAGGGGTATGGCTTCTGTGTGTACCAGGACCCCAGTGTCACGGACATCGCCTGCATGGCGCTCAACGGCATGAAGATGGGCGACAAGACTCTCACCGTGCGCCGCGCCACGGCCAGGTGCGTTCACAGGTGCTCTCAGGTGTTCCTGGTACCCTCAGGTGCTCCCAGGTGCCACGTGACATACTCTTGGGAATTGTCGGCTGGTGGTTGCTGTGCTTTCACATGCCATTCCAGATGGTTCATGTGGCATGCAGCGTTACTGTGGGTGCGCTGTTGGTTCCTTCGCATCGCACTGATGGCTGCTTATGGGTTTGTTGTCCCTCTCCTTCCGTGTCGCCTGTGACATGTCTTGTGCCGCTGCAGTGGTCAAGCCAAGCCCGAGCAAGCCAATGTGTTGGCGCAGGCTCAGCAGCAAATCGCCCTGTCGGTGCGTTTTTCTGCTCACCCTCTTCTCCCTTGCATTCTATCCCTTCCCCCTGCTGCTGGTCACTGTCACCCACTCACTCTTACCCTTCGTCCGAACACTTCCACGCTCTCCCTCGCCTATTGTCTCACTCACTCCTCTTCCTATTCCGCCTCACTGCCACTTTCACCCGACTCCTTGGCGCACCAGCGCATGGCTCTGACAGGCGCCAACACTGTGGGGCTGGGGGCGGCAACTGCCTTGCCGGGTGCTCCTGTTGACATCCCCACCAAAGTCATCTGCCTCTCACAGGTTCGCCTCCTCACTCACTCATTCTCTCACTCTTACGCCAGGTTTGTTGCTCTTGTGAAGGCTGCTGCACCCCTCACACTGTGCCATGATGTCTTTATGCCTTGATGCCATGGGGTGGTGTGCCATGGTAAGGCACTGACATACCTCTCCTTTTCTGCCATCGCTGCACTGGCGGGCAGGTGGTGTCACCGGACGAGCTGACCAACGATGAGGACTACGATGAGATCATGGAGGACATGCGAGAGGAGTGCGCCAAATACGGTCAGTCACTCGGACCATATTGTTTCCCTGTTGTGCTGCTGGTAGACTCATGACTTGAAAAGTATTCTCTCGCCAATGACGATCCGCCATGTGCCCTTGCCACGCATCACATGCCACATGTGACATGTGCTTCTGTGCATGTGTCCATGCCTCATCACCTCATTATTTAACTCTGCTACAAATCCATTTCTCGGACTCGGCGTCTTGTTGATCCGCTGTCTCCCTTATAAACAGGTTCGCTTGTGAACGTGGTCATTCCTCGGCCGCCAGCACCAGGCGCAACAGCTCCTGGGGTGGGCAAGGTGCGTCTCACGCTCAGTCCATCTGCATGTGCGTTACATCATCCCATTTACATGTGCAATATGTGCCAGCCGCAAGCGCAGCAGCTCCTGGGGTGGGAAAGGTATGCTTCATGCACAGTCCATCCATGTGCCCTGCGCATGTAAGTAGGTGCTTGTTGCAACTCATAACTGACAAGTCACCATGCATCTCTGCCCACATTGCTCACCCCCTGCTTGCCTCTCTCCTTTCATGCCACACTTGCCACAGGTGTTTGTTGAGTATGGCGACACAGCGGGCGCCCTCAAGGCCAAGGCAGCCCTGCATGGGCGCAAGTTTGGAGGCAATGCTGTGGTGGCCATCTTCTATCCAGAGGATGCATATGCGCGTGCCGACTACTCCAAGGTCTAACTGCTTTTGAGGCGCCTCAAGAGTGGCAATGCAGCAGGGTCGCTATCTCTGATTTCTTGGCCTCTCTTGGCCTGGAGGATGCCTATGCTCGTGACGACGACTCCAAGATCTGACGCTCATGCACGCCCTGCGCCAGCACGCAGGCATGGTGGGATGGTGATGCTCTGACAACCCACACTCTTCTACCTGGGAGTATGCTTTCCTGCCTGGGACCCGTGGAGACCTGTGGCCTGAGCTGGCTGCCTCCTTGTAGTAACCAGTTTCTGGTGGTAGACTCCGCAACACGCATTACATGAGCTTGTGCCACTGGATTGTGCCACTTGCTGGTTACGCTTTGCTTGTGATGTCACTGGTGATCCGTGAAGCTAATTTGAGCAGATAATTGACAAGAGATTGTTGCAAGACAAGGAAAGGCAAGAGGAATATGTGCTGCTAGTTGCCTGTTTCATACTCACATGTGCAATTTCATGAGATCTTTGTTTGTGTGTTAAGTGGTTGCTGCGCTGCTCTACTGGGAATGCTCTACAGAAGATGCCAAGTTACCGTACTGGAATTATCTTAAAACCAGGTACCGTAGGTAGGTACAAAGTAAGTGATTCTTGTGCACAGCAGTGCACAATAACAATAGAGAGCACACTATACAGCACTACCGGTACATGGAATCTACACACCAAAAAGGCAGACCGTGACCAGCTAGCACCGTCCCAAGCCCTGTACTACAATCCAGCTTCAATCTCCTACCAGACTCATGCTACCTGACCTGCTATCTGCACCACTTGCTACCTGCAATAACTCCGAACAACACCACAGCTGACCACTCTGTTCCTCTTCCCTACCATCACACAGCTGATAACCCATTCCTCCCCACTCATCCCTCATGCCTCTGAAACCCTACAACTCTCCTAACCTCACCTCCCCTCTCCTCCTCTCCTCACCCCTCCTCTTCTCACCCCTCCTCATCTTCTTGCCCCTCCTCATCTCCTTACCTCTCGTCCCCTCACCTTACCTTCTTCAGACCTCACCTTTCCTCTCACTTCCCCTTCCTCGCCTCACCTTTCCTCTCACCTCCCTAACCTCCCTTCTCCTCTCACCTCTCCTCACCTCTACTCCTCTCCTCTCCTCACCTCCCTTCTCCTCTCCTCTCCTCTCCTCACCTCCCTTCTCCTCTCCTCTCCTCTCCTCACCTCCCTTCTCCTCTCCTCTCCTCTCCTCACCTCCCTTCTCCTCTCCTCTCCTCCCTTCTCCTCCCTTCTCCTCTCCTCACCTCCCTTCTCCTCTCCTCACCTCCTCTTCTCCTCTCCTCACCTCCCTTCTCCTCTCCTCACCTCCCTTCTCCTCTCCTCACCTCCCTTCTCCTCTCCTCACCTCCCTTCTCCTCTCCTCACCTCCCTTCTCCTCTCCTCACCTCCCTTCTCCTCTCCTCACCTCCCTTCTCCTCTCCTCACCTCCCTTCTCCTCTCCTCACCTCCCTTCTCCTCTCCTCACCTCCCTTCTCCTCTCCTCACCTCCCTTCTCCTCTCCTCACCTCCCTTCTCCTCTCCTCACCTCCCTTCTCCTCTCCTCACCTCCCTTCTCCTCTCCTCACCTCCCTTCTCCTCTCCTCACCTCCCTTCTCCTCTCCTCACCTCCCTTCTCCTCTCCTCACCTCCCTTCTCCTCTCCTCACCTCCCTTCTCCCCACCGTTCCTCACCACTACCGACCTTCTCACAGCCCGTCTAACTTCCTGTACCCACCTCCCTCCCCTTCCTCATGACCACCCCCCCCCTTCAGTACTTCCATCTTGGCGTAACCCCACCCCGCACACCCTTACCCGCCGCCCTCTCCCCCTCGGCGCCCCTGCTGTTAACTCGCCCAGTCTCCCTCAGCGCTCGCCCCTCCACAACCTCACCTCCTCCTCCTGCCTTCCCTCCTCGTTGCACTCGCGCAGTGGAAGCATCAGGAGTGTTAGGGGGCGCATGGGGACCGGTAAAAGGGGTTCTCTCACTCCTGCTCCTCACCATCCCTCCTTCCACACTCGCCCTCAGCCCTTTTCCCCGAACTCCCTCTCCTCTCTCCTTCCCCGTACTCCCACCACACTCCATAGACAACTTCCTGCTCCCCGTCTTCCCTTGCGGCTGAGACTCGGCTCGAACCAGCCTCCCGAGCCTGCTGCTTGAAGCCGAGGTTAGAGGTACCAGGCCTGACTTAGGCTTGGCAGCAGTCCGAGCCTTCTCTGCAGTGGCGGTGCTGGTGGTGGTGGTTCCATGGTTGAATACCCCTCCCACTCGGAATATGCTCCCATTGCCCTCACTCGCCCTCCCTTGACCACTCTCCCTCCGCTCCTTCTGTTGCACCTCCCTCTGCTGCTGCTCCTCCTCTCCCCTTGCCTTTGCTTCCTCCCCCTCCCCCTCCCCTGCACGCATGCCCTTTGCCATCGAAACGACCCTTTTAATGGTTGAAGCCGCGACAGCAGCAGCATCGTCATCACCAGCTGAAGCAGCAGCAGGAGCAGCAGCAGCAGCAGCAGCAGTGGGGGTGGAGGGCATGGAGGAGAAGGGAGAAGCAGGGGCGGAGAAGAACTGCTGCACCTCCTCATACTCCTCCTCTTCTCCCTCTCCCTCATCTACCTCCGCATTCTCCCTCCCTTCCTCCGCAAAATCACTGCCATGCTTCCCTGCTCCAGCCTCCTCGGCACAGTCAACAGGGTCAACAGAGGCTCGGCCAAGTGGCAGGGCGAGCAGCGGCACCACTGCCGAACCTCTCCCATTCCTCCCTATCCCCAGAGACACCTTCCTTGCCCCGCCGCCCAAGGCAGCAGCACCATTCACACTGCAACTGCTGCTTCTTCCCCCAACAGCATCGTCGCCACCAGCGCCATAGCTAACATTGATAACACTGTAAGCGGTGTTATCAGTGTCACCAGCACCACCACCCTTGCCACCAGCACTGCCACCACCACCGAGCGCCACTCCCCGCCCTTCCTCCTCTACCGTCCCCATCTTCTCCCCCGCGCGCGCCCCATCCGTCCCCGCGCCCCCGTACTTGGGCACTGCGCCATACACGTTCCCCCTGATCCGCGCAACCACCCTCATCTCCCCCCTACCCGGGGGAGAGGGCGTCAATCCCACGGGCGACCCCAGTAGGGGGAGCCCCATCCGCCACAGCCCCGGCTCCGCCGGTGCGCCTGCGCCTGCGCCTCCCCCTACCCCTCCCCCTGCGGATACGGCGAGTTTTGCCGTGAGGGGGGTGTTGGGCTCGGGGGAGGCGGAAGGGGACGCGGAGGGCGAGGGGGTGCGGCGGAGGGCGGAGGTAGACGCCTGCACGGCGCGGCTGAGCGCGGAGATTTCCGCGGACTGGTGGGACAGCTGGGGGGAAGAGGGGTTGGTGGGGGGAGAGAGTGTATGGGGAAAAAGGGGGCAGGTGAAAATAGAAAGTGAAAGGAACGTCGGAAGCAACGGTAAAGTCGAGATGAATGTGAGCACATGAGAACACCAGGCATGGTGTGAAGGCACAAGGCATGCGACTCGAGCGACTCACCATGGCCATCAGCTCCTCCATCCCCGCGCTCCTCGCATCGCCCCCCTTCGCCGCCTCCTCCGCCTTCTCCTCCGCCTTCTCCTCCGCCTTCTCCTCCGCTTTCTCATCCGCCTCATTTTCCTTCTTATCCTCGTCCTCCTCTTCCCGGACAGGCTTCCCCGCATCTGTGCCATTCACTGCCGCGCTGCCACGTGTCAGCTCCTGAATGGCTTCCGTCTGACCGAGAACGAGGGCTTTGAGCTCCGCGATGTGCGCCGCCTGCAGCGCCATGAGGTCCTGCGGGACGACGCGGGAGACGCGGATTGATCAAAGACGAGCAGAGTGTGAGGCATGCCACGCCAGCATGCAACGCAACTTGTTCCGCAATAGAACACGCGCCGTGGAACAAAGAGAGCATGACTTTTCTGTGCGGTAGTGCATCTGGCAATACCGGTACGAGGAACTGCTAGTTACATTCGTTTGTCTCACCTTCAGGGCGGAGTTCGATTCAACGGCATTGTTCAGAGCCTCCTGAGTCGTGGTTCGCGACGCCTCAACCTCCGCGCACCGCCCCTCCGAGCATTTCATCTCCTCCGCCATCCGTTTTATCTCCGCCTCCATGCGTTTCATCTTCCTCGCCGCTCGCTCGCTTCCCTCTGTCCCACGTTTAATCTCCTCGCCCATGCTTCCCACACGTTCCTCCTCGCGTTTCAGCTTCTCCTCCAGCCGTTGCATCTCCTCAACAGCCCGTTTCATTTTCCCACCCATCTCATCTCGTTCCATCTCCACGCGTTTCAACTGTTCCTCCAACAGTTTCAATTCGAGGTCCTTGGCCTGCAGTAGCTGCTGCACCTGAAGATGCAAAGAGGAACACCAAGTAAGGAGGAAGGAGCAAGAATTGATGATTGAAATGGAGACGGATAACATTCTAACGAAGACATAACGAAGAGGATTTGCGTTTGATGCAAACATAACGGCTCCTTACCCTCGCCAAGATGACAACAACGAGCGTCTGCGACAGTTACAAGCGTGTGCGAACGAGTCTTCAGCACCTACCTGTGAATTATCACCGCTCGCTTTCGCGGGACTCGGACCACCTTCTGCCACGCGTGCGACACCCGACGACGGGCTGGCGACGGGCGACGAAACGACGGATTTGGGCTGCTGGGATCGCAAGGCGACGAGCTTCTTGCGCAAAGAGCGCGCATCCGCGTCCTTTGCGCGGATCAACTTGCGGATCCGCGCAAACTCGCGTTTCATCTGCGTCCTGGCCGTCGAGACCGCCTTCCACGTCATCGTGAGGATCAAGGCGCGCTGTGTAGGGAGGAGAAGAAGAAAAAAAACGAAGCAGCTTTGACACGTGTCATCCTGAGTTACCCACGAACGTTAATTCACAAAAGCAGCGCCACAGGCGAGAGCCACTGCATCACGAGTTGATGAATGCATGTTTTCGCAGATAAAAGACGGAAAGAACGAATTTGGGATAGTCAAGGAGCTCACGTAGACAGGCGGGATGCTCAGCCATGATTGTTGTTCATCTTCCGTCAACACGCCGCTAGCTCCGACGTTTTCCGTCAACGCTTCCACGTTCTTCAGCTGTCCATCAAGCGACATCCACGCCAGACTCACTCGCCTCCCTGCTCCGTTCTGCAGCTGCCGAGCCTGTGGCGGAAAGCTTTCCGCCAAAGGCGGCAAAGACTGCAGCGACGCGCGGACGGGGAGTCCATGGAACTCCGCCACGTCCGCTAGAAACTCCCTCTCGTCCGGCAGCATGGCGGAAAAATCCCCCGCGCTTTCCGCCAGGGCGGAGATCCGCCGCTGGCTGGTCCGCGACGGGGGCGGAAACACCATTGCTGCGGACGACGAAGAGACGCTGCCGTCAACACTGCCGGCGAACGACGTCCGTCGTGATGACGGAGCAGAACCGAGTCCGACGGCAGAGGAACTGGTGTAGTTTGCGAGAAACGGAGGAGCGCCGGAGTTGGACTGACGGACGGACGCGGAGAGACGGGGCGGCACGATAGGTACGGAAGGCACGAGCTCTGTTGCCTTGAGCGTGTTGGGCGGTAAAATCTCGACTAAGGATTGCGTGGTTTGCGGAGGGACCGCAGCTGCCGGCACCGACGTGTTCCGACGGCTGTTCTCGTTAACGCTCCTCATCCCAAACGCGGACATGGCGGCTGATTTTCCCGAGGGGAAGGAAAAGAAGGAATTGTCGGAAAAATCCTGTAGCGCAGATCGGACGCCGGATCTGCCGGTTGGCGGGTGGCCCGACTTGACGGAGCCATCAAACCATTGCGTGACGGCCGCGAGGCCAACCGGATGCACCTCCTCGCTGCCGGTAACGGTTTCCACGGGAAGTGGAAGCGCGGGGGTGGTGACGTCAGCGAGAAGAGTGGGGGAAGGTTTCGAGAGAGATGGGGAGTAGGGTAAGGCGTTTTCGTCGTTGAAGCGGGATGAGAAGGTGAGCTTGTTCTGCAGCCTGCCAGGTTTCCGACCACTACGCTTTAGTGACACGGTTTCCATTGGTAAAAGCTATGACGCGTAACTGAGTGACGAAAGGACTTAAGAAAGCGTGGCGAGCAATTACATGTACTCTGAAGATCGCACGGAAAAATCACTAGACAGATCTGACGTAGCGAAGGAGAATACGAACATATCATCAAACAGCGAGACTACTGAAGTGAGACGACTAAACTTGGCGACAGTGAGAATAGCAATAGAAACAGCAGACTTCAATAGCTACGGTGTGCTGTAGGTGTTGGAACGAAGACGAAGGCTTGGATCTCCAAGGGCGAGAGGGAAGTGGAGACGAGGGTGCTGTTGCCACAGACAAGTGAGGCAGGGGGGTTGAGGGTCTGGTGGTCTGCTTCATGAATTCCCTAAATTATGACTGGCGCGCCGCGGTTTGCAGCGAGGAAAACGAGTCGCAGCAGAAATTCAAAATTTCTGCGAGCGCTGCGTTTTTGAGCGGGAAACGAATTTGAAATATCTGACAGAAAGTGATTGGCGTCCAAGCCTCCCATTTGACTTGCAGGGTTCAATACATCGATAATAAGATATCATACAAGAAGAAACAAAAATTCATCCTGTAAGGGAAGTTCGAGACTCCTTGTAAAGCACTCAGTTTGGCAAAGTCTGTGATCTGACACATGGTCTCTTGTATGGCAAGATCAAGGTTGCTCTGTTCAAAGAATCTACTCCATTCAGGATAACGTCGAAGTACTTCACTAGTGGCTCCTTGGCCGTATCGCTTTCCACGGTTGCAGAGAGAGGTTGCGACGTTCATTTCCCTGTATCGACGTATCGTAACGCTGTGCTTTCACTGGCTTCTTTTCGCAAATCTCCATGTGTAGTCCACGTGAATCCTCAACGATGCTACATCGCTCTGGCAGTCTGACCTGGAAGCCTTGTTCGGCCAACTCCTAAAGTTTTTTAGCCTTTCGCACAATGTGATTGGAATCCGCACCCCGCTACAGTAAGGAGTTTGCACGCTAGAGCGACGAGGCGACGCCAGGCTGGGCCCATGGATGGGGCCGTCGTCCGGCTCATGCGACAAAAGGTTCCGCGAATCGTCGCATTCCCCGTCGCACTCTTCCTGGGAGTCGCCCTGCTGCTCGTCACCCGCCAGCCAGCGGAGATCGCGAGAGTAGAGGACCTCTTCGAAGCATCCCCTCCCAGTGCTCTCTCAACTCATCCTCCATCGTCCGATGCTTCACCAGTTCTCCCTCCGCCGTCCGATGTTGCATTGCGGGAAAACCTTGAAAAATCGAGCATCCAGGATGCCATTCAGGAAGACAGCAATCAGGTCGACGGAAAGACGACTGAACCGAGTCGTAGCTCACGTGACAGTAGCGAAAGTACTCGTCCCGATAGAAGCACATCCAGCGAAGCTAATATCGAGAATAAACGCAATCAAGATGGCGAGGGCGAGCAGTGCTGGGACGGGCGGGTGCGCGTGTACGTGCACGAGCTGCCACGTCGGATGAATCTGGGACTGATGGAGCCCAAGTGGAAGACGCGGCAGGAGCAGCGCACCAACGGCAGCATGGACGAGCCGCCCATCCCGGCGTGGGGGTGGCCGGCGGGCGGCGACGTGCATCCCACGGCGTGGCAACACAGCCTCGAATACTTTCTCGTTGCAGACCTGCTGCAACCACCCTCGGTGCGTTGAATGAAGACACGTGACATGCGTTGAATGAAGACACATGACATGCGTTGAATGAAGACACATGACATGCGTTGAATGAAGACACATGACATGCGTTGAATGAAGACACATGACATGTCCTCTTTGAGTCACCTTAGAAAGCGACGTGCACCCCACGGCGTGGCAGCACAGCCTGGAGTACTTTCTCGTCGCCGACCTGCTGCAACCACCCTCGGTGCGTTCGTGGGGCATGCTGCATGCCCCCCTGTGCCTCCTTATGAGACACGCTGCACACCCCCCGGATGTCCGTGTGACATGTGACATGCTGCATGCCCCCCTGTACCTCCTTATCAGACACGCTGCACACCCCCCGGATGTCCGTGTGACATGTGACATGCTGCATGCCCCCCTGTACCTCCTTATCAGACACGCTGCACCCTTCCCCCCTCCTCCCCCCTCGAATGTCCCTGTGGGAGGTGACATACTGCGCGCCCCTCCATGATTCGCGTGTGCTGTAACCCTGTGCTCTCCCCTCCCTCGCACAAACACAAGAGAGACTCCGGGGTGGCGGCCGTGAGGGTGGCGGCCGTGAGGGTGGCGGCCGTGAGGGTGGCGGCCGTGAGGGTGGCGGCCGTGAGGGTGGCGGCCGTGAGGGTGGCGGCCGTGAGGGTGGCGGCCGTGAGGGTGGCGGCCGTGAGGGTGAGCGACCCCGCACACGGGGACGTGTTTCTCGTCTTAAACTAGTCCTGTGCATTCCCTCTCTCATGCTGTCCCCACACGCGGCAACAGAAGAGAGACGCTGGAGTGGCAGCAGTGAGGGTGAGCGACCCCGCACACGCGGACGTGTTTCTCGTGCCCTTCTTCGCGTCCACCATGGTCAACCTGCTCCGAAGAAAGAACTTCCCCACCTACAAGGCTCTCGCAGTACGTTCTTTTTTCCTCGTTATAGACGTGTCATGGTTTCCATGCCCTTATTTCCGTCCACTATAGTCAGCCAAAGTTCAACACCTGCAAGGCCCTAGCGGCGCGTTCTCTTGTGATTTGCATACTGAACAACCTGTCCTCCTTATAGACTCATGTGTCTCGTGCTCTTTGTACCTTCCATTCTGGTCGACTTGCTAATCCCCCATTCCTCCACATCCCACCTCACTGCACCTCACCGCACTGCACCAGATGGAGATGGCGGAGTTGATGAGCGCGTCGCCGTGGTGGCAGCGCAGGGGAGGGAGGGACCACGTGCTGTGCGTCACCCACTCTTGAGGCGCCTACACCCTCCCACCCACCTGCCCCTGCCACACCCCACCCCACCTCACCTAACCCCACCGTAACCCACCTCACCGCATTCCACCAGATGGAGATGGCGGAGCTGATGAGCGCGTCGCCCTGGTGGCAGCGGCGAGGAGGCAGGGACCACGTGCTGTGTGTCACCCACCCCAACGCCCTGGAGTCCGTGCGGCACCACATGGCTGCTGCTGCATTTGTCGCTGTGGACCTCGCCAGGTGGGTGAAGAGGAGAGGCAGGAGCAGCTGCGTGGAAGGTGGGTGGAAGGCACAGGCAAAGGGTTAGGGCTCAGAAAGGGACCACGTGCTGTGCGTCAGTCACACACCCCAACGCCCTGGAATCCGTGCGGCACCACATGGCCGCTGCTGCCTTCGTTGCTGTTGTTGACCTCGCCAGGTGGGTGAGGAGGAGAGAGCAGCGGTAGTATGGGTGGAAGGGGGAGGGGGAGGAGTTGAAAGCGTGCACCACCACGTGGCTGCTGTTGCCTTTTGAGGCGCCTCAAAAGTTGACTGCTGTTGCCTTGGTCGCTGTTGACCTCGCCAGGTGGGTCAGGAGTGGCAGGAGGTGCTAGGTGGGTGGAAGGGCAGCAGGGGTAGCAGGGTGAAAGGGGGAGCACGTGCCTGCTGTACAGGGGTGTCGGACCTGCTGAACCGACCTCACCTCCCCCTGTACACTCCTGCACTGCACACCCTGCCCCTCACCCAGGTACGAAACGGGGAAGGCGGATCTGCACAAGAACATCATAGCACCTTACTGGGCCAAGCTCACCTCCCCACATGCTCACCCTTGTTCTCCTGCCTGGCCCTAATCCAGGTACGAACCAGGGGAGGCGGATCTGCACAAGGACATCATAGCACCTTACGGGGCGCTGGTGGAGACTTACACTGCAGAGGCCGAGAGGCGGGACGCCCAAGGAGGGCTTGCAGGAGGAGGCAGGGGAGGAGGTCCGGCAGCAGTAGCCGAAGCTGAAGCTGAGGCTGGGAGCCGCCTGGGGATGGGGAGGGATGGGGGTGGCGATAGGGAGACGGGAAAGGATGGGGAGGTGGGGCAGGGACGAGGGGGGGAGAGTGAGGATGGGGGGAAAGAAGAGGAGGATGAGGAGGGGGGAGGTGGGAGAGTAGGGAAGCGAAGCGGCAGTGGTGAGAAGGGGAAAGGGAGAAAGAAGCGAGGAGGGGAGGGGGAGGCGGTGGAAGAGGAGGCTTCAGATGAGGAAGAAGGTTTGGAAAAGGATCAGGGGAGGGGCAGAGGGGGATTGACACACGCGGCAGTGGGTAAGGATAGCAGGGAAGGAGAGAAGGGAGCAGCGGGGGATAAGGATGGGGGTGAGGAGGAGAAGGAGAAGGAGAAGGAAGAGGAGGGTGAGGAAGAGGGTGAGGATGAGGAAGAGAAGGGGAAGGGGAATGGGAAAAAGGAGGAGGAGGAGGAGGAGGATGGGGACGGGGAGGGAGAGAGGAGGCGATTGGAGGGTGAACGGAGACGACTGGCAGGAGGGAAAGGATCAGAGTCGAGGGAGGCCGATAGTGAGGAAGAGGACGGAGGAGACAGTGAGAAGGAAGGGAAGGACGAGAAGGAAGGGGAGGCTGGGAGTGAGGAGGAGGGGGGCGATACTGGTGAAGGGGAGGGGAGTGACGGTTTGCATGGGCAAGTGACCGGAGGGGAAGCAGGAGCAGCAGGGAAAGGAGCAGTAGCAGGTGGTGCCGCTGCTGCTGCTGCTGTGGATACAGGAGGAGCGGATGCGGGTGTGTTTGCGCGGCGCACCACACTGCTCTACTTCCAGGGCACGCTGCAACGCAAGGATGTGAGTGTGTGGGAACAACAGGGGTGCGTGGTTACAGGGGTGCGTGGTTACAGGGCGAGGCGATTTGCTTGTGAGGGAGGCCGCCTCTCCCCCCATCTTTTGAGTCGACTCAAAAGGGAGGCTGCCTCTCCCCCCATCTTCTCACTCTCACTCTCTGCCTGCCCTCTCTCCCCTCCTTCCCCCCCATCAGCGGCGCAAGGCCCTGTTTGACGAGCTACAGGGGGAGGCGGATGTGGATGTGAGGGAAGCCGCCTCTCTGCAACCCTTCCTTATCATTCTCTTCCTTGCTTGCTATACCCCTCTCTCCCCCTCCCTCCCCCCCCGTCAGCGGCGCAAGGCCCTATTCGACGACTACAGGGGGGGTCGGACGCGCATGTGAGGAAAGCTGCCTATCCACAATTCCCCCTTATTGTTCTCTGCCTTCTCTTCGATACCCCTCTCCCCTCCTTCCCCCCTCAGCGGCGCAAGGCCCTGTTTGACGAGCTACAGGGGGAGGCGGATGTGCATGTGAGGGAGGCTTCGGGGTCCAGCCAGTCCATCCGTGATGTGAGTGCTTCTGTCACGCACACACGTTCTGCCCCGTTTCACTCACATTTGGCAACATGCAGTGCACCTTTGGCCAATTGTCGTGTACGCCTGCCCTTCCTCTTTCCACCAACTCCCCATTCCGAAATGACCATTCTATTTTGTTTCCAGTCCCCAGAGGGCATGCTTCTGATCTGACTGCACGTGGAGGGCGGTGCCTCACCCTAATACCCCCCTCCTGCTTGCCATTCCAAATTCCAGCATTCTCAAGCCACTCTCTGTGCGTGTCCCTCCCCGCTCTTCACTTTTGCCTGCGTCCCAAGAGGGCATGCGGCGGGCGCGCTTCTGCCCGCACGTGGAGGGCGACACACCCTCTTAGTTTCCATTCCAGACTCCACCATTCTTGCACCACTCACTGTCACTGTCCGTCCCCCCTCTCCCCTTCTGCCCACAGTCCCAGGAGGGCATGCGGCAGTCACGCTTCTGTCTGCACGTGGAGGGCGACACACCATCCTCCTCCCGGTTCTTCAATGCCATCATGAGTGGGTGTGTGCCGGTGGTCGTCAGTGATAACGTGGAGCTGCCCTTCGAGTCAGTCATCGACTACTCGCGCCTCACGCTCTTCTTCTCCCAACAGGTGACCCTCTCACGCTCTCGTTTTATGCAACCAGAGCCCTGCGTTATCTGGCATGAATGGGTGTGTGTCCGTGGCCGTCACTGACCGCGTGGAGCTCCCCTTTGAGTCCTCCATCGACTGCTCCCGCCTCGCACTCTTCTTCTCCCAAGAGATGCGTGTGTGAGAAAGGCTTTTTGCGCTCTACCTCTTGTTGATCCAACCATACCGGAGCATATTGTGTGTTCATTGATACAAGTGCCCACATTTTATCGTTCTTTCCACCATTTGTCGCTTGACTTTATTGTCTCCCATTGCCGTCCCTCCCCTCGTCAGGACGCCTTGGTCAAAGGCCGTCTGGTCTCCGCGCTGCGCCAGGTGTCGGAACAGGAGTGGCTGGCGATGTGGCACGAGGTGCACCAAGTGCAGAAGCACTTTGAGTTCCAGGTATGTTACCGTGCCTGTTCCCGTACCGATAACCATGCCTGATTCTGTTCCTGTAACTGCGTCTGTTACTGTGTCGGTTCCCATACCTGTATCAATGTGTGGCCCCATGCCTGTCCCCGTGCCTGTCGCCAACAGCAACCAGCGAGGGCAGGAGATGCAGTGGACATGGTGTGGTGGGAGGTGCATGTTCCGATACCTGTTCCCATACCTGTTCCCATTGCTCTCCCCATGGCTAACCTCAACAGCAACCAGCAAGGGCAGGAGATGCAGTGGACATGGTGTGGCGGGAGGTGCGCAACCGACTGCCCAGCATGCACCTCATGGCTCACCGCGACACACGCCTCACCATCCCCGACTGGAGTGCCTGATGCTGGCCTCATGGTATCTGCATGCGGTCGCCCTCCCTGGATGCATGGTAGTCCCTGAATGTGCGCAACAGACTGCGCAGCATGCAACACATGCCACACTGGGACCCTCGCCTCACCATCCCTGACTGGAGTGCCTGATGCTGGCCTGCTAGCCTGATGATCCAAGGCATTTGGTTCCTCCAGTGGTTGAGCAATGGTCCCCCATTCGTTGACAGTTCTAGTGCAAATATCAGTAGGTAGGTACATACAGAAAACACAACCTGATATGTACACCCATTCTTGATGCAAATAAGCTATATAAGCAATAACATAGAATCCTTTCTTGTTATTAACATCGCAGTATCAAGTCCTGTTCCCTAACTGATGTTGTGTTCTCATATCCACTCCCCCCCTACTTATACACCCATACCAGCCTTCACGCCCTTTTCATGGTCAGCATCGTCATCCTTGTCGTCTTCCTCATCATCCTTACCATCCTTGTCAAGCATTTTCTCCCCATCACCATGCTTGTCCTTGCCATGTTCATCCTCGTCGTCCTTATCCTCCTTATCCTCATCGTCCTTCTCATCTTTCTCATCATCGTCTTCATCATGCATGGAAGATTTCCTCTTGGGATTGTCGCCATGCTCATCACTATGATCGTCACCATGATCGTCGCTATGCCCATCATGGTCCTTGCCATGCTTGCCCTCGTCTGCACCCTCATGGTCATGGTCATGGTCATGGTCATGGTCATGGTCATGGTGGTGGTCGTGGTCCTGGTCATGGTTATGGTCATGGTCATGGTCATGGTCATGATCATGGTCATGGTCATGGTCATGGTCGTGGTTGTGCTTATGAGCATCAGCATCATCACCATCATCATCACCACCGCTACCATCCCCATGCCCATGCTTGTCAAAAAGCGCACCAATTCCATCACCGTAACCACTATCGCCATCAGCAGCACCAGCACCAGCACCACCAGCACCACCAGCACCGCCCTTCCCCTTGCTCGCCTGCCACTTGTGCCGGGCCTTGGAGTATTTCTTTCTCAGCTTAACGCAGTGCTCCAGCCCCTCTCGCACCCACCCTCTTGCAATTCGCAGCTGCTGATTCGCTCGCCTCAAGTCCGCAGCGCATGTGGCTAGGCCATCGGCTGCTGCTACTGCTGCTGCTTCTGAGGCTGAGGGAAATGGGAAAGGTGGAATTGGGAAGGGGAAAGGGAGAGGTGGAGGGTACAGGACTTCAGAGGGAGGCGTTGAAATTCGAGGGTGCACAGCTCCGTGGATTGATTAAGGCAGCGTGAGAAGCTAGTCAGACGACACGCCAGGATATACAGGAGAGCAAACAACCAAGCACCACGACCACGGAGAACCGACCTGCATCCATCTTCATCTGGCTCATCCCTCCTGCCTGCATGGTTCCTAACCCCCCTGGAGGAGGTTCCGCCTGCCCTCCCTGCGACTGCGACAACCCCCCGCGCTCCGCCCATCGCTTCTCCATCTCTGCGAGCTTCGATTTCGCCTCGGCGGCTTCCTGATTCGCACGCGACGTCGCATAGTACCCCGTGGCGATTATACATGCGACAAGTGCGACGAATCCTATCAGCACGCCGACGGGAATCCCCAGTGGACCCTCTGCGGCAAGACCGGCGCCATTCGCGGCGAAGCGACGCCTTCGAGACAAGACCATTGTTAAAACTAAGATATTTACGAGCAACCCTGAAGCAGACGACTGCAAAAAGACAGAGTTAACGACTTAGGAGTTAACCAGAGCGCTGACTAGAATCGATATTGAGACAATCGCAGGAGAACTTGCGGTAATCCCAAGAAAGCCCATTTCCTCCAAGAAAGTTCCGGATGCGTAACAAGCAGCTTCGACACCTCAACATTCAGAAAACTGCGCAAGAAAAAAATCACATACCGGTAAACTGTGAGCTACAAACACCAAATTTGCCGGAGACACAATCGCCCACCCCCACCAAAATCAGCTGAAAATCATTACCTACAGCCAAGGCCGCGCGCATGCAATTATTTGACCCCACGCCAACCTACAATAGGGCCCATATGGGTGCTTGCGGCAGATTCAAGCAGCAGCCACACCTCAATCACATTGACAAACAGTGCCCTCAAATGGCTCTAGGAAATCTTTCACTAGGCCAGTCCTGTGGGTTGCGTGGCACAAAAACGGGTTTCCCCCTAGCTGCGTCCAGCAGCGGCCACAGCCCACGCGCTGCTGAAAAAAATGCCTCAAGCACTTCTGAATGGATCTAGTCTAGGGTATTACTCCAGAGGCCAGTCCTGTGGGTTACGTGGCACAAACACAGGCTTTCCCTTAGCTGCGTCCAGCAGAGGCCACAGCCCCACGCGCTGCTGGAAAAACACTTCAAGTGCCTGCCCGTCAAATGTGACCTCTGCAGCCTCGTCCCCGTCTGCTGTCGCTCCCAGCCCGCTCTGCACTGTGAGGGTTGGCTCCCACTTCTCCTTACCGCGCTGTATCGCACTGAACACCTCTTCCTTGGCCACTCCGGGTAGCCCCAGGAACTGAGCCAGCGCGGTGGAGGCGGTCTGGGGACGAAGAGAGACGGAATGGAAGAGGGGTTGCAGGGGGCACATTGTGAAGCATGAAAATCGTGAAAAGTTAGGATTTGGAAAATCCAGGCAATGATATGCATGGTGCACAGCATTTGACAAGCCACCAAGATACCCTCCTCCAGCCATGCCTGCAGCCTCACACCCTACCAATACGCCTCCCCACATACACGCTACTGCCCATGCCGTTCCCCGTACCTTGGGTCTCTTGACCAGTGCATCGACATCAATCAGGCTGAATGTGCCGCAAGGGAGAGTCCGGAGGGACGCATCAATATAGACCATGCTGTCCTCGATCAGCCTCGCCTGCAGCCCCACACCCTGCCCATCGGACTCCCCAAATGCTCCCTACCTTGGGTCTCTTGACCAGTGCATCGACATCTATCAGGCTGAAGGTGCCGCACGGGAGCGTCCTGAGCGAGGCATCGATGTAGACCATGCTGTCCTCGATCAGCCTCGCCTGCAGCCCCACGTCGTCGTTGTGGAAGCGCCGCAGCACGGACCAGAGGACGGTGTCTGTGAGGTTTCGCACCAGCACCACGAGCTGCAAGAGGGGGACGGGTGGGGGTTGATGCGAGGGAGGGCGGTGCCGTGCCAGACGAGCAAGGGGGAGATGAGAAGAGATGTGACGGTAGGCCTGTGGAAGCGCCGCAGCACGGACCAGAGGACGGTGTCTGTCAGGTTTCGCACCAGCACCACGAGCTGCAGGGTAGAGAGGGAGGGGAGCGAGGGTAGAGGGAGGAGGGTGGTGTGCAAGAAGAGGAGGGAGGAGATGAAGTGAGTTCCACATCGTCGTTGTGGAATCGCCGCAGCACGGACCAGAAGACAATGTCTGTGAGGTTTCGCACCATTATCACGAGCTGAAAGGGGGATGTGGGAGAGGGGAGCGAGGCAGGGTGTCAGGGTTGCCATGCCATTGCTGCGGAATGGAAGCGCTGCAGCACAGGCCAGAGCACTGTGAGGTTTCGCACCAGTACCACGAGCTGCGGGCCAGGGAGGTGGGGGAGGAGCAAGGGCAGAGGGAGGAGGGTGGTGTGCAAGACGAGCAAGGCAAGAGATTAAAAAGAGATGTGGCATCATCAGGCCTGCACAGCACCGTGTCTGTAGTGGGGTTGCGCATGGGCACCGCGAGCTGGATTCAGGAGGGGGAGAAGGGGAGCATTCGTGAGTGTAAGGTTCCGCACAAGCACGCTAGACGAAAGGGGGGAGGAGATGCGGGGTGTCAGAGTGTCATGAAAGGGAGTGAGCAAGGGTGGTGAAATGAAGAGAGCAGTGAACAGGACACGAAAAATGCATTCATACCTTGAGGTTATACAGGATGCCGTGGAATGTCGCGAGGGAGATGAGGTCTGGACGAGCCAGCGGTGTGCGAATGCGGCCCATGGGGAAGGGGTCCCTGGCGCGCAGGTAGTAGTTTGTGTCCTGCGCACAGCACAGTAAAGGGGAGTAAGCAAAAAAGAACAGCAGAAGGAGGTGAATGAGCTTGAATAAACTTCGGCATGATCGAATGCGACCCATCCCATGGGGAAGGGATCCCTGGCCCGCAGGTAGAAATTCGTGTCCTGTCATCGTTAAGGGAGGGGGTTCAAAGAGGCAACGCACAGCAGAAGAGGCAACTGAGACAGTGCATGTTTGATTGTGCCCCATGGGAAAGGGGTCCCTGGCGCGCAGGTAGTAGTTTGAGTCCTGCCGTTTGAGGGAGGGGGGTGAAAGAGGCAACACGCAGCACAAGGAGGCGATTGAGTGTGTGTTTGCACAGCGCATATCTGAATGCAAGCCATCTGACTTTTGAGTGGACTCAAAAGTCAGCTCGGTATAATGTCACAAGGAGGCGATTGAGTGGGTGTTTGGACAGCGCATCTCTGAACGCAACCCATCCGAAAGGGGTCTCTGGCCCATAGGTGTTAGTTCATGTCCTGCTCACAGCAAATGGAGATGAGGGGCAGGCCACACTGAGACACCACAAGTACAGGCAGATAGAGTATGAGCGTACCTGGAGCTTGGACTTGAGGGCGGTGGACATGCGAACACCAAAGTCATTAAACAAGAGGGGGAGAGTAGGCCAGCTTGGGGCAGTCCACACTAAGACTCATCAAGCGAGCACCTACCTTATCAACGAACTTATGAAGGCCTTACCTGGAGCTTGGACTTGAGTGCAGTGGACATGCGAACACCAAAGTCGTAGACGTGGCGGGAGTAGGGCAGCTTGGGGCAGTCGACGGTGGCACCTGTGGGGTCCTGTGCCGATGCCACCTTCTGCCCTGGCGACGAGGTGAGGTGCAGGTCCGGGTTGAAGCGGTCTATGCTGATGTTCACTGGCAGGTAGCTGTGGGGGGGGATGGGAGAGGAAGGGAGAGTGGGAGAGGGGGTGGGAGGGAGAGGGAGAGAGCGAGGCAGAGGCAGGCAGGCAGTGCAATGAGAGGAGTTCGGCTCGCCAGTGGGGTCCTGTGCCGATGCCACCTTCTGCCCTGGCGACGAGGTCAGGTGCAGGTCGGGGTTGAAGCGGTCTATGCTGATGTTCACTGGCAGGTAGCTGGGAGGGAGGAGAGAGACGGAGGGACGGAGAGGGGGAGACGGAGGGAGGGGCAGGACGGCAGCGGTATGGGGGAATACACGGTCGGTATGGGGGAATACACGGTCGGTATGGGGGAATACACGGTCGGTATGGGGGAATACACGGTCGGTATGGGGGAATACACGGTCGGTATGGGGGAATACACGGTCGGGTCAGGGTTGATGTCGTTTGTTCCTGATGTTCACTGGCAAATAGCTGTTGGGGCGGGCAAATAAGGGAAAAGCTGAGGCGGTAGGGCTAAGCATGGGCATTTGACCCGACCCGGCCCGACCCGTCCCGTTGAGGGCGACCCGTTAGCTTAACGGGTCGGGTCGGGTTAGCGGGTCGGGTTTGACTCTGTTTTGGTGACCCGACCCGCCCCGTGGGAACGGGTATTTGTGACCCGTTACCGGGTCGGTTACACCACGGGTCGGGTCGGGTCGGATCAAAATATGCTACATAGCAGCAGGGTATGGGGGTTAGGTCTGATCGCGATGCTGAACCTGGCCGCGATCGCCCTGTCCTAATGCGGTGCCGCGATCCCGCCAATGCGTGGCCGCACGCGCGCTGCTGCGCCCCTGGTCGTGCGACGCTGCGAAATGGCGGGAGCGCCAAACCCTGACCTGAAGATAATATGCAGTTTAAATAGTGCTAACATTGAAGAGTGAAGACTGTATGAGGCTCCCTAGCTGCAGCGCAGAAGTACTAGCCTTGATCTAATCTAGCGACTAGATCAGAATGTCGAGGGAAAAAAAACCTAAAAAACCAACCGATGTTCAACCCCTACCCTAATCCGAAAACGGGTCGGGTAACCCTGTCATTTGACTGGGTACGCGACCTGGACGGGACGGGTCAACCCGACCCGGCGGGTCGCAAAAACCCGTCACTAAATCACAGTGACGGGTCACGGGTCGACCCGACCCGTCCGGGTCAAATGCCCATGCTTAGGTAGGGCAGGTGGGAGGATGGGGGAGGGTGTAAGGATCACCAAGCGCATGTGCAAAGAGGGGCAGGGGGCGCCTGAATATGTACTCACAGAGGGGCAGGTCATGCTTTGTGCGTGCGCCCCTCAGGGGGCTCCCCTCAGTGCCTATGAACATGAACAGGCGGGGCAGCTGATCCGCCTGCACACTGCAGTGTGCGTGCGCTACAGTTTCCCTGTGGTTTGAATGACAGACTGGCGGGCACAGAAAGGCTGGAAACCCTACCTGAAGATGTACTCAAACAGGTCGTGCCCGCTCCCTTCAGTGCCTATGAACATGAACAAGCGGGGCAGCTGATCCGCCTGCGCGTGCTTGCGTGTATATAGTTGACCTGTGGGGCGTGCGTACCTAAAAATATACTCAAAAAGATCGTGCCCGCTCCCCTCAGTGCCAACGAACATGAACAGGCGGGGCAGCTGATCCGCCTGCGCGTGCACGTGAGTGGGCAGGCGGCACACTGGCGGGAAGAGGTGCGGGCGCCAGGGCTTGGTGCTGAGGCGCCAGGAGAGGGGCGCGCACGCCAGCAGCACCACCACTGCGAGTGCTGCTAGCAGGGTTCCCCATGCCGATCCCCCCCTGGGGATTTTCAGCGGCTCAAAGGTGTCCGTTGCACGCCTGGCGTGTTTTTTTTGGGGGGGGGGTGGGGTGGGGATAAGGAGTGGATGCGGGGTTTTGAAGGGCTTTTTAGGAAGGTTTGGTGCTGAGGTGCCAGGAGAGGGGCGCGCACGCGAGCAGCACCACCACTGCGAGTGCTGCCAGCAGGGTTCCCCATGCCGAGCACCCCCTGGAGACTTTCAGCGGCTCAAAGGTGTCCGTTGCACGCCTGGATTGTGGGGAGAGGAGGGAATGGGGTTAGGAGGGAATGGGGAGAGGGGAGAAGTGGGGATGAGGAGAAGGGAGAGGTGGGGGGGGGTGTGGAGGAGAGGAGGTAGGGGTTAGAAGGGTGTCTCAGGAAGGTTGGGTGCTGCTGAGTCGCCAGGAGAGGGGCGCTCACGCCAGCACCACCACCACCGCCAGCGCCAGCGCCGCAAGGGTTCTCCATGCGACCAGCGGATTTTAGCAGGGAAACAGATGAATCCGCGGGGTGTTTGTTAGGAGGTGTGCGCGAGGAGTTCGCTGGTGCCATGCCAATGCGTCTACGTGGCTCATGACATGAAGCGTGCGAAAGAGAATCCGCGCAGCAAGAGGATTCGTGCAGGGGGGCTACAATTTGCAGGGAGGGGAATGTCGCTGAGAGCAAGGCAGGAAGGGGCACGCCCTTTACGGTCACATTGAGAGGGATATTGCAACGTGACATAAATAAACTAATGATACAGGGGACTGGAGTGCAGAGACTCACTTGGGGAGCGGCGAGGAGGCGACCGGCGTGGGTGAGTAAGGCGCTGAGGTCGGCATATTGTCGCTCCCCACTCGCGCAGCGCGGCGGCGTGATGTGGGGGTTTGTCACTCCCTACTCGAGCACGGAAGGAGTGTACGCGCCGGGTTTATCACTCGTCACTCGAGGACGGCAGTGCCGAACGTGTTTTGTCACTTCCTACTCGCGGACCACTGCACGGAAGGAAGCGGGTCAGACGACAGGGTGCGCTGGTGGCAACTCTACGCGCGGGGATGACGGGGTTGCAAGGGGGGAGAAGAGGGAAGGAGCCGACGAGACGTGCGTGAGCAAGAGACATGGGAAGATGGTAATCGGGACAAGGGTAAGGAAACGACGGGTATGGGAAGTGCCGACCCGGAGCGAAGAGACTGATAAGCGAGCGACGGACTAGTAGCATTGTTGAAGCGGCACCACTGTTCGGTAGTAGGATTCTAACGTGGTACCGACTTACATACATTTCAGTGCTTCACCGAGGAACAGACAAGCAACAATCTGTCCATAATGCGTGGCTTGCGAGGCCGTCGTCGGGTTATACCGTATTGATTACATAAAGTGTGTTGAAGAAGTGAGAACGTTCCGTACAGTCAACCTGAGGTAGTAGGTACGGTAAGAGTAGAGCCCCAGGTTAGGTATGTGATATGATAGGTTATCAGTTGGAGGAGTGGACGGCATTGCGCCAGAGTTTAGAGAAATTGGGGGGCAAGCAACGCAAGGCATGAGGCCAAGGCATCAGGCAGGGCAAGGCCTCTTGGAAAGCAAAGCACCACCGCCCACCCCTTGCCCAAACCAACCTCGCCGTGTGGAGCTGGTGTTACAAACCACCACAAACATTTATAGATAGAACGATGCAACACAGAACCAGTCACCTAACTCACATCCATGTATTTAGAACTAATTATTGGGGAACAACAAATATTATCAGGCAGCCCCATCTCTAAGCAGCCGTTGTATTATTATGAGGATTACAATCACCTTAGCATAAGCCGCGGTTAGTTTTCTATTCGTTTCCACCAGTTTGGTGGCCAGTCACACCACGAGCCGGTAGTTAATATATCTGCCAGCAGTTTCACTGTTTCTGAGAACCTTCACCACCTGCCCTCTGTTGAGCCCAAAGTACCGAGCCACTGGGTCACTCCTCTGCATGCGGGGCAGCTGGTGTGAGGGAGAGAGAATAAAAAAAAACGTGCAAATATAATATGATCACAAGGATAAGATTGGTAACCATCCCAAAGAATCCGTGCACAACTCCTCTGCATGCAGGTAAGCTGGTGTAAGGCAAACGAGGGGATAGGGGTCGGAGGGGGATAAGACGGGAATCCATGGAAGGGCTAGTATGGGGGCATGGGTTAACAGCACGGGACATATGCACAGAACACTTGGTAGCCGAGTAGGTGAAAGAAGGGGAGCAGTGGTGGGCGGGGATGAGGTTGGGGATTGGCGAGAGGATGACGAGTGTGAAGAGCGCGAGAGAGATGTGGGCAGTCGACGGGATTCAGTGCCAAGAAACATACTAAATCCCATACCCATGAGACACACCTGGTGCTCTTTGACCGTGTATCTCTCCAGCAGAATGTGCTTCTCCTCGTCTGTCAACACCACGTGCTGCGGTACCAACTCGTGCTTTGTCACATTCACCAACAGCTCGCCCTCCTGCCATTGTGCGTTGATCATGACAGGATTGAAATGGAAGGCCGGAAAATTGATGATCATGAAGGGATAACAATACACGGCGGGCCACAGAAGCAGAGAAACCAAGGAACTATTATATTACGATTCGACAAAGGTTGATCGGCGAAAGCGCCTCCGTATTTTGTCACATGAAACACCCACTTTTAACACCTCTCATACCTGGAAGACTTCGATAATGTACTTTGGAGCCATGTCAGCGAGAATCTTCTTGGAGAAGGGCGTGAGGTTCTGCTGCACCACCATGATGGCACGCGACAGCCCCGACCCCTTCATCTTCTCATAGTACCCCTTGAGCGTCTTGATGCCCACCTTTGCCTCCACCGGGAAGAACACGTAGATCTGTGCATGTGCGTGCAAGGGGAGGGGACGCGTGCGGCGTGGGGGGTTTGGTGTGAAGGGATGAAAAGAGGGGAGCGGGGTGGGAGGAGGGGAGAGTGGTGTGTGTGATTTTTCCAAAGCGCCTCAGAAGTAAAATTGATGCCCACCTTCGCCCCCAGACGAACGCGTAGATATGTTAGGGTGGGTTCAGGAAGGTGCGGTTTCAGGGAGGTGCGGTTTCAGGGAGGTGCGGTTTCAGGGAGGTGCGGTTTCAGGGAGGTGCGGTTTCAGGGAGGTGCGGGTTCAGGGGGGTGCGGGTTCAGGAGGCGTGTGGGTTCATGCAGGTAGGGTGTGAGATGAGACAAGGATGTGAGAGGAGGAAAGGGGGGAGTGGGGCAAGGAAGACGGGGAAGTACAATGAGGGGAGGAGAGGGGGGAGCAGGGGGAGAGGACAGGGGGGAGCAGGATGAGAGGTCGGTTATGTGCGAAGAGTAGTGTGTGCAAGGAGGAACGGGGGAGTAGGGTGAGAGGAGGGGAGACAATAGCAACAGGAGGAAATAAGGAAAGAATCGGAAGAAGACCTTATAACGAGCCAAACGACATTCAAATTCCCACCCTGAGCCTCGTACACACGTGCTTCAAACACACTTGGGTTTCCCACCTCGTCGTTAGGGTTGTCCCTCTTCTGCTTTAGTAGCGTGAGATCGTCTCGTTGAGGGTCGTCCCCGAATTGGTCTCTGAAATCGTCCTTGGTCGATCGAAGCTCGCGATCAGCTACTAGGTACCCGCGATCGTGTAGCATCTGACCAGCCAGCAAAACAATAACACACCCGAGGAGTACGCTGTTCACTAGAAATACCAGAATTGATATATAAGCGTGTGACGTGTATTGGGATTATGCAGCATCAGAACGCAAGGTGCAGAAGATAAGGGGTTGGGGGAAAGGGCAGAGGATTTAACGTTTTTTTATTTACGACGGAAAGTGACGGGAACAGCGGAATAAACTGCGCTACGTGCCCTCCCGATACGTATTGGAGCATGCTGCAGAACGTAACGGACCTCGAATATTGTCCTTCTCACGCGGAACAGTCTGGACACCGTCTCGTCCCCCATGGCTGGGTGACTTTATGCTGATTAGAACGCCGAAAAATACAGTGGAGACGTTCGACTAGACTGGCGAGCGGAGAGTGCGCGTACTGACGTGGAGACGGAATAGGTGTCAAACTAAGGTCGAAACGGAGGGCCTGTATTATAATATGAACTATGAACCTAGTCACACTTCACGAGCATTCGTAGTTTGGTGGAACTACTTATGGGGCAAATCTGAGGCACGCTTCGAGGATTTCCCTCCTCCTTTCGGCATTACGGTTATCTTATCTATCAACTCTTTCTGGTGTACTTCTTATCACGAGTTGCCTCATAGCGAGCGGCCGTACTGAACCCACAAAGCCGTAACAAACCAGCGTAACAAATTTCGGCACTAGCGCTCGCGAGCATGATGAATATTCCACGTGTGTTTCTCCCCTCTCGAGCATCTGGGGGCAAAAATGGAGATTTTGCCACCTAGACCAAACTCCAACCACAGACCTCATTCACGTGGCATCGTTCCACGTCAGCAATTTACTTCTGCATTACAGAACACCATTTCTCTGGTGGGATGATGCAACCAGCCTTGGGATAATCAAAATGTGTCCCAGCCGTGCAATTCGCATCAGAATCTGCGTGGCCTCTCTCCTAAGGCAGATTCAAGGCTGCCTTGAATTCCCTCAAATATAAAAAGCTGTTCTTTCTTTGTACATTTTTCAAAATTCACACTTCACTTCGCCCTCTCCTCGTCTCATCCTAGCTCAGACTAACCATGGCTCGCGCCGTCGCCGCCCATTCCGCGCTCCTGTCTCAACTGGCGGCCCGCAGCCCCGTCGCAGCGAGCCACGCGTCAGCCGCTGACAGGCTCCATGCCGCTATTCTTCCCGTGAATCCTCTGCGCGCAGCGGTCGCACGAGGAGCCAGCAGCGGAAGGAGCCACGTGTCGCGCGTCAACGTGTCGGCTTCTGCCGCGTAGGTCACAGGTGTTTGGCTGGACCTCCGATGGTTGAACCCATGCCACATTCTGGCAGCACGAGAACCAAGCCCGGAAATGTGACATTCGAAACTCGATACATCTGTTCCAAACTGTACCTTTTCCCGTTCTCTCTTCCCCCGTGCCTCCGTGTCGCTCCGTACCAGAACCGAGCCTAGCTCCAAGGACCTCCAGGCGAAGTTCGGCAAGGACGGAGTGAGCTTCGACGACGGGCTGGGCGGCCTGCCACGTGTCATTCTCGCAGACGCCTCCGGCAGGTGCGCACATGCCACCCCTCCCGTGTTTCCCTTCTCCGAAACCTGCCCATTTCTGCTTTCATAGTCTTACCCAAATAGTGCTTTGACGCGCCCATCCTGTCTCTTTGCCTTTCCGTCGTCCCCTCTCCCTCTCTTCCTCCCTCAAGCTCCTTCCCTCGTCACTCCCCCGTCTGCTCTATCCTTATCCACCTAATCTCTCCACGCGATCCCTTCCGAATTCCTCCTCCATCTCGGCCACATCCCTGTCAGCACGGCCGAGGTGTACCTCTACGGCGCCTGCACGACTTCCTGGAAGCTTCCGTCCGGCGAGGACCTGCTGTTCGTGCGCCCCGACGCGGTGTTCACGGGCGCCAAGCCCATCAGCGGCGGCATTCCGCACTGCTTCCCGCAATTTGGGCCAGGCGCCATGCAGCAGGTAAGATGTGCTGCGCTGTTCACAGACGCGCCGTTCACAGACGCGGTGTTCACGGGCGCCAAGCCCATCAGCGGCGGCATCCCGCACTGCTTCCCGCAGTTCGGCCCGGGAGCGATGCAGCAGGTAGGGGATGCATGAGAGCACAGTCAGTGCATTATAGTCCAACACAAGGTGACTCACTTCTGCAGTGACTCATTCTCATTCTCTCGCTGCGGTATTCCCGGAGCCAAGCCCATCAGCGGCGGCATTCCGCACTGCTTCCCCCAATTTGGGTCAGGCGCCATGCAGCAGGTGTGATGACGTCATGTGGTCGGTGTGATGATGGCATGCTACATTTTCAGGAATAGCGTTCGCACACGAACACATCCAGTGCACTCGCCCTTCCCAAACACCCCGCCTCTCCCCCTCCCCCCCGCCCCGCCCTGCTCTGCGCAGCACGGCTTTGCGCGCAACCTGACGTGGGAAGTGGAGGCAGCTGAGGGGGGCGCGTCCCCCTCGCTCACCCTCGCCCTCTCCGACAACGAGTACTCGCGCGCCATGTGGGACTTCGCCTTCAAAGCCACCTTCAAGGTACCATCGCCCGCTCCCTCGCCCTCGCTGATTCTGTTCCTCTCTCACTCTCTTCCCCACCGTCCTCGCCCTCTCTGATAACGAGTACTCGCGCGCCATGTGGGACTTCGCCTTCAAGGCCACCTTCAAGGTACCTCTCCCCCTCTCTCTCACTCCCTCACTCACTCCCTTACTCCCTTTCTCACACTCCCCCTTACTCCCTCCCTCGCCCAATCATTGCCTCCACCCCTTGCGCTCTCTGACAATGAATACCCGCGCGCCATGTGGGAGTGTTTTGAGACGTCTCAAAATACCCGCGCGCCATGTGGGACTTCGCACTCTCAATGCACTTGTCCCCTTCCCCTTCACTCCCTCCCTCACTTTCTCACTGTCTCCCCACCCTCTCACTCATTCACTTCCTCAGCACCCTTTCTCTCTCCCATGACGACATTTCACTACTCCCACCTTCTCTCCCAAACCCCCCCTTTCACAGATCTCCCTGTCGGACGGCAAGCTGGAGACAGTCTTCACAGTGACCAACACAGACAGCAAACCCTTTTCCTTCACCACCGCTCTGCACTCCTACTTCCGCGTATGTCACCTACCATGCCCGCCTGCATGTCTTGGCACAGCACCCTGCCATGCCATGGCCGCATGCCTTTCGGCAGCGCAACACTGAGTTACTCTGCGGTCTGCCCAGTTGTTTCTAGGTCAGGCTGGACCCTCCATGGCCGCTCATTTCTTTGCTGCCCACGCTTTTCTTACATCCACCCAACTCCAACGGTCCAACCTAATCCAATCCGTTCCAAGCAAAACAAATCGAATCCAATTCAACCCAAATCATTTCAATCCAGCCCAATCCAACCCAACCCAACCCAATCCGATCCAATTCAATGCAAAGCAATCCTATCCAATGTGTGAGTCATATGGACGCTCTCTTCTCCTCCCATCCCCTCCTCCCCTCCCACGTGGCAGGCTGCTATTGGCGGAGTGAAGGTGACTGGGCTGAAGGGCGCCAAGTCCCTCAACAAGGACCCCGACCCAACCAACCCCATTGCGGGTGTGGAGGAGAGGTGAGGAGGGGGTGAGTTAGGATGGTGCATAGCAGAAGGGATGGGGAACGGAGTGAGACCAGGGATAGAATTGGAGTGATCGCCTGTCAACAAGAACCCCTGACCACCCCATCGCAGTTGTGGAGGAGAGGTGAGGGGGGAAGGCAGGATGGGGCACGGAGGTGGGGAATGAAAGAGAGTCACCATATGAAATGTTTGCCCCGAGCTTTGTGGACTGCATGTATCTCAACACACCGGAGGAGCTCGTGCTGGACCACGGGCTGGGTAGTTGAGGCAACAGCTTGACCCTGCTTTCCTGGTTCTCCCTTCCTGATCCTTCCATTCCCCCCGGTGCAGGGATGAAGTCACCTTCCCCGGCTTCGTGGACTGCATGTATCTCAACACGCCACAGGAGCTCGTGTTGGACAACGGGCTGGGCAGGAAGCTAGCCATCCGCAACAAGGGGTGGACTGACGCCGTCGTGTGGAGCCCCCACCTCACTATGCCCGCCTGCTACCTCGACTTTGTCTGCGTTGAAAACGCCAAGGTATGCCGCCTGGCTGCATGCTTGGAACTTCTCTTGTCACTTGCTCGCTCACTCACTTCCCCTTCCCTGCATTGGCCCATCCACTCCAATCCGTTTCCTGTTCTCTCTGCATGTGCTGCCTGCTCGTTCCCCGCTCTGCTTGTTCCATTCCCTCTCCCCTTGCTCCTCGTCACCCCTCCAGGAAATGCATTTGCAGGCAGACCTCTCCACTTCTCTTCACCTCCCTTCCCTGCCCTTTACCTCCTCATATCATCTCCTCCCCCCCCTTGTTTAGCTATCGGAGGTGGAGCTCCAGGCAGGCCAGACATGGACTGCAGAGCAGGAATTGGTGGCGCTGTAGGTGTATGGCTCATTAATTGGTGCTGTCATGTGTTGACTGCATGGTGCTGATTTGCTTGCGTAGTGCCTTAATTTGCTGCTATTATATCAATTTTCTCAATCCAACAAACAATGCCTGCATGTATTGACATATACTACCACCTCACACGACTCTACCAGCACTCGTTGGGTTGTCCCTTTGCCATGACATTGCCAACTAGGTACGTGAAGTGCACAATACACTGACATGGAAAAGACTTGGTGACTTGTGAGCCATGCAGCTACAGCTAGGCTTCCAAACACAATCTCACACTCAAGCATTTCAAGCTGGGCATGCACAAGCTACATATATACACTTCCATATAATTCTACGGTAAAATATCCGTACAGAAACAATGTAAACAAGCATCCATATTCTAAAAAAAAATCAGTAGGTAGCGCACCGGAGCTGGTGTGGAGACTCATTGAGCTGCTGGTCTGAGCACCCTAGCCAGCAGCGCCGGTTGCACACCTTCATCTGCAAACCGAACAACTCGCCTTCTCCGATTCACCTTGCTTTCTGCTCCTCCCACTGCACGTGCCTCAATGGTGGACCTGCTGAGCTGTGTGACAGCACTGCATCTCATTTCTTCTGTTTCACAACCATCCCTTTCCGTTCCATTTCCTGAATGCCCCTCCTTCTCTGAATGCCCCTCTTTCTCTGAATGCCCCTCTTTCTCTGAATGCCCCTCCTTCTCTGAATGCCCCTCTTTCTCTGAATGCTCCTCTGAATGCCCCTCTTTCTCTGCACGCCCTTCCTCCCTTGCGCCTCCATTCTCCATTGCAAAAGAGCCCTCCCCTGCCTGCCCTGCAAATGCACCATTCTCCCCTTCCCCTCTGTCGCAAACAACAGAAGAATCCAAAGTGTGAGCAGCAACTGTCCCTGCCACACCCCCTGCCCCTGCCTCCGCTGCCCTTGCTGCACTGCCTGCTGTGGCATCCCCACCAAGCAGGGGAACCATGCTGTTCCCTGCAGCCTCACTGCTTGCACTAGGTCTACCTTCCTCACATACGCCCTCTCTGGCAACATATGTACCTCCCTCCCATGCGCCTGCCACAAAGGTTGACCCATGTTGGCCATCCCCTGATGGGCCTTGGGCGAGAAGCAGGCTGCACTTATTGACTGCTGACCCGGCAGCAGGGGGGAGGGGTGTATTGAGAGGGCTAGCAGGGACCGGAGGCTGCAGGGGAGTTGCTGGCTGGGAGAGGGAAGGGGAGAGTGAGAGGTTGGAGGAAAGGAAGGACTGGCGGGACGACAGGAGGGTAGGGGAACCGAGGGGGTGGGCGGAGGAGAAGGGGTTGGTGGGGGAGAAGGCTTGGGAGAAGGAGGTGTGGGGTTGGGCACGGGAAAGGGGATGGGAGGAGAGGGGTTTTGCGGGGGAGGTGGATGTGGAGGGCGAGAGCGGCAGGGAGGAGTCGGCGGTGCGGACGAGCTTCAGTGCGAGCAGAATGGCGTTGCGCGCCACTGCCTCCCTTGCCTGCCTCTGCTTCGCCTGCGCTCCACTGTCAGGCAGGTGCTGAGGAGCGGGAGACGAGTCAGGATAGTGGAAACGGGATGAAAGAAGGACAAGAGGATTAGACGGGTTGGAGAGGAGTCGGCACGAGCTTCAGCGCCATCAGAATGGCATTGCGCGCCATCAGAATGGCATTGCGCGCCACGGCCTCCCTTGCTTGCCTCTGCTTTGCCTGCGCTCCAATGTCGGGGAGGAGCTGCAACGAAGAGCGGAAGCGAGGGGAGGAGGGGAAGAAAGGGGGGTTAGAAAGGCAAGCGGGATGGCGTTGCGCGCCACGGCCTCCCGCGCCTGCCTCTGCTTCGCCTGCGCTTCCTGGAATGCCGCTGCCCTGCTGCCGCGCGTGCTGCGCTGTTTTGCCTGCGCTTCACCAACCGTACGAACTGCCCGTTTTTCCAGCTGCTGCTTCGCCTGCGCTTCCTGGAATGTTGCTGCTTCACCTGCGCTTCCTGGAATGCCCCTGCTTCGCCTGCGCTTCCTGGAATGCCGCTTCTTTGCCTGCGCTTCCTGGAATGCCGCTGCTTTGCCTGCGCTTCCTGGAATGCCGCTGCTTTGCCTGCGCTTCCTGGAATGCCGCTGCTTTGCCTGCGCTTCCTGGAATGCCGCTGCTTTGCCTGCGCTTCCTGGAATGCCGCTGCTTTGCCTGCGCTTCCTGGAATGCCGCTGCTTTGCCTGCGCCCCACTGTCAGGGAGGCGCTGAGGGGAGCAGGAAATGCGGGAGAATGTATGCCGTACAGAAGGGGAGGAGGGGTTGATAAAAAGGGCAAGGAGGATGAGCGAGCGGGACTGGAGTTATTTACACCAGACCTACCTCCACCAGACCTACACCGGGCCTACATCGGACCTACCTGCAGAATGTGTAGCATGTGCTCTTCCAGCGTGCCTGCCATGGCCAGTGTCTCCACCGTGATTGGCCGAGAGGCGCCCATGCGATGCGCCCGAGACACCATCTGCTCCTCCACACTGCCGGGGGGAGAGGGGGGGTGGATCAAGGGAGGAGGGGTACGGGAGGGGCATGGGGTGAGGCACTGGTAGGGGCATGAGGGACATGGGCGGCATGAGGGGAACCTGAGGGGTATAGAGGCCACGAAAGGCATGGGGGATATGGAGGGCACGTGGGACACAGGAATGGGGTCGAGTATCGGTCATGGAGAATAGGGTCGATACTAGGTGAACGGCCAGGGTACCATGCACTTCAGTGTGGCTCATTGCACGCCTGCCTGAGGTTGTGACTCACTGCACGCTCGCGTGAGATCATGATTACAAGATGGAATAACAATGGTACCTGGGGCCCCGCAAGGGTTCCACGAGGAATACACGTGACACATGCCATGCCACATGACAGCAATGTACATGTGGCACAGCGTGACGCATCACAAACACGCACATATCGTGTACGTACCTGGGGTCCCACACGGGCTCCATGAGGAAGACGCGTGACACAAAGGAAAGGTCCAGACCGAGCGAGCCCGTGCCATCCATTAGAAGCACGCGGCACGCGGGGTCGTGCTGAAAGCGCATCAGTTCCTGCATCTGCTCTCGTTATAGGCAAACATGCAGTATTGGCACATGGATATGTACATGCATGCATGCATTAAACATCATATAGCATCAGCACCACATGACGTTGCATCGCACCACATCACATCACACATACAGACACACTCCAATGAATGCATCAATGGATCAAAAGGGACCCGGGCAGGGCACAAGTCGCGGATGGGTGAATGTGCTTTAGGTAGAGGAGAAAAGAATATGCTCATCTGCGGGCAAGTAGGCGACCATGGTGGGAAACTGAGATTGCAGACATGGCAGAGCAATCAGATAAGCTTCCCATGACAACTCTGGCCTTCGCGGACCGGACCAAGGCGCGCGCGCGGACCGGACCAAGGAGCGCGCGCGCGGAGCGGACCAAGGCGCGCGCGCGCGGACCGGACCAAGGCGCGCGCGCGCGGACCGGACCAGGGCGCGCGCGCGCGGACCGGACCAAGGCGCGCGCGCGGACCGGACCAAGGCGCGCGCGCGGACCGGACCAAGGCGCGCGCGCCGGGACCGGACCAAGGCGCGCGCGCGGACCGGACCAAGGAGCGCGCGCGCGGAGCGGACCAAGGCGCGCGCGCGCGGAGCGGACCAAGGCGCGCGCGCGCGGACCGGACCAGGGCGCGCGCGCGCGGACCGGACCAAGGCGCGCGCGCGGACCGGACCAAGGCGCGCGCGCGGACCGGACCAAGGCGCGCGCGCGGGCTGGACCAAGGCGCGCGCGCGCGGACCGGACCAAGGCGCGCGCGGGCCGGACCAAGGCGCGCGCGCGGATCGGACCAAGGCGCGCGCGCGGGGGCGGACCAAGGCGCGCGCGCGGGCCGGACCAAGGCGCGCGTGCAGACCGGACCAAGGCGCGCGCGCGCGGACCGGACCAAGGCGCGCGCGCGCGGACCGGACCAAGGCGCGGCGCGCGCGCGGACCGGACCAAGGCGCACGCGCGCGGACCGGACCAAGGCGCGCGCCCGCGGACCGGACCAAGGCGCGCGCGCGCGGGCCGGACCAAGGTGCGCGCGCGGGCCGGACCAAGGCGCGCGCGCGGGCCGGACCAAGGCGCGCGCGCGGACCGGACCAAGGCGCGCGCGCGGACCGGACCAAGGCGCGCGCGGGCCGGATCAAGGCGCGCGCGCGGGGGCCGGACCAAGGCGCGCGCGCGGGCCGGACCAAGGCGCGCGCCCGGGCCGGACCAAGGCGCGCGCGCGGACCGGACCAAGGCGCGCGCGCGGGCCGGACCAAGGCGCGCACGCGGGCCGGACCAATGCGCGCGCGCGCGCGGGCCGGACCAAGGCGCGCGCGCGGGCCGGACCAAGGCGCGCGCCCGGGCCGGACCAAGGCGCGCGCGCGGACCGGACCAAGCCGCGCGCGCGGACCTGACCAAGGGGCGCGCGCGGACCGGACCAAGGCGCGCGCGCCTAAGTTGGAATCTACGCTCAAGGCCCTCTACGTTTAGCGTATGTATGCTAGCGTCTACACGCAATACGCGAAACGCTAGCGAATACGCGATACGCAGCCATTGATTTTTTCGAGCAGCCCGAAAAAATAAAATCGCAAAAAATATGCGGATTTTCGTGGTGAGCATTTCGCCGAAGTCGAAATGCAAATCCGCGGTCTACGCAAAGTTTGTAGGCTGTTGGATTTCAGATCTCATCTAGGCATTGTAACCCAACCCTTTCACCCATTGAAAACCATCGACGAACTCAAACGACGAACTCAAACGACGAACTCAAACGACGAACTCAAACCTACTCAAAATTGACCCCCCAACAAACCTCATGCTACTTACCACCAGCCAGCCCAACTCACGTATAAGGGCGTATCCAGGTTCGGGTCATGGGCACTGTTCCGGGCATCCGCAATTTGCGGATGACCCAAACAACATAAAACGCCACTTTGGGTCCTCCGAACTCATGCGACCCCCAAAGCGCCGCGAAGGTTTTAGCGCCAAAATCAGGCTCCCCACAACAGTCGCATCCAATAGAAGGATGCCAGAATAGCTCGAAAAATCCTTAGCAAGACCCACGCGAAACCCACCGAAAAAACACAATCGTCAAAATTCCCGGCGTGAATCCCCAAATGCTGGGAGGGCGACGCGGGAAATTTTTGACCCACTAATGGTCACTAGGGTCAATTTGCCGAGTGGTTGGGTGCAGAGGGGTAAGACGTGGGACATTGCCCACGTGTGACACTCGACTGACGACCGCCAAAAAATGGCAGTAAATCCAGAATCGTGCAACCAGATGATTGGTTGGGGGTGGGTCGTGCACGTCAGTCGCCCAACACCTGCACATTGACCCAAAGCTGGGGCCGCGCGCGGCTCGGCAGCCCACTTCGGGTCATGCGCAAATTCCGCATGACCCAAACAGTAGCCAGAACAGTGCTCATGACCCGAACCTGGATACGCCCTAATTCCCGCTTCCAGCGGAGTTCCCGCCCACTCCTCTCTCTCCACACGTCCCATCCCAACCGCCGATTGGACTAAGGAGAATTTTAGGGCACGTCTTAGTGAGAATAAAGAGTACATTGTTTTCCACCCTGCCCGGGAATTTTTTTTCCTGCCTGGAAAAGCGTATCCTCAATCAGACCCCTCCAGCGTATTGCGTGCAAACGCTAGCGTATATACGATACGCGTACATACGCTAAACGCGTTTATTCCAACGCGCGGACCGGACCAAGGCGCGCGCGCGCGGACCGGACCAAGGCGCGCGCGCGGACCGCACCAAGGCGCGCGCGGGGACCAGAAACTGCGTGAACACTATCGCCTTCTCCACCCCCTACCCTACCTGCTCCATAACAAGACTTACTTTGAACAACATGGGACTGAACTTGAACGGAATGGGACTCACCTTGACGGATTGAGGCCGTGGGCTGTAGAGCCCAGCGAAGTTGACACCGGCGAGTGTGAGCTGCGCCTCCAGCAGCGCTATGTGCTCCAGAAACTGCGTGAACACTATCGCCTTCTCCCCTCCGTACCCCCCCTTTCCTCCACCATATGCCCCTTTCTCCCCGCCGTATCTCCCCGTCTCCCCGCCATAGCCCCCAGCAGCAGCCACAGGACCATGTGCTTCCATGGCCTGGGCTGCACAGCCATCCGCCACCCCGTCCCCATGCTCTGCCGTATCAGACCCCCTTTCTGGGCTTCTTGAGAGTGATTTTGTGCAACCAGCCAGTGGCTCGTCTGACGCTTGCGGTACTATGCATGGCTGTGCTGCCGATGGTGACTGTGCTGAATGTGACAGCAGCTGCTCGTCCGAATCCCGCAATGGTGGTAGGGGAGCGAGCAGGCGCAGTTGGGAGAGGAGGTAGTCCACCTTGGTGCTGGCTGTGGCCTGCCACTCCAGATGCCACTCCCTCTGCACACGAGGAGTGGTAAGGAGAACGAGGAAAGGTGGGAGAAAAGGGGAGAATGAGGGTGAGACGAGGTGCTCGCTGTGTCCAGCCACTACACACAGCACTCCCTCATTGCATAACGAGTGGGAGAAATAAGCACATTCAACTTGGGATTCGCGTTCTGAGGGCGCTTCATATCCTTGGGCTCGTGCATGCGACTTTTGAGACGTCTCAAAAGTCGTTCTGAGGGCGCTTCATATCCTTGGGCTCCTGCATGCAACTTTTGAGACGTCTCAAAAGTCGTTCTGAGGGCGCTTCATATCCTTGGGCTCCTGCATGCGGTACTGTCGGGCACATCCCCGTCCCTCAATCCTAGAATGTACAGCCCCAAAAGGACCCCGCCTGCTCATACGATGGCTGCAGCTCGATCAAATCCTGAGGTACGCTCCACTTGGGGTTGGCATTCTCTGGTCGCTTCAGGTCCTTGGGCTCCTGCATGCGGTACCATCGGGCACACCCCCACCCCCAGTCCTGTCCTAGTAGCAACAACTGCGTTACTGCTCCCCACCTGCTCATACGATGGTTGCAGCTCGATCAGGTCCTGAGGTACGCTCCACTTAGGGTTGGCATTCTCTGGGCGTTTCATGTCCTTGGGCTCCTGCATGCGGTACGGCCGTGCACAGCCCGGCATGGCACATGCGTGCTTGTCTGTTGCCACACACGTGATGCACAGGAGGTGCGGGCAGGGGGTGACTATGGGAAGACGCACCCACTCCCCACACCTGAGGAAGGGAAAGGGCAGGGGAGGGATTGTGAGGGAAAGAGAGGGCAACAGCCTTGCATGGCGCATGCGTGCTTGTCTGTTGCCACACACGTGATGCACAAGAGGTGTGGGCAGGGGGGGGAGGTGAACCCACTCGCCACACCTGAGGGAGGGAGTGAGGGTGAGTGAGAAAGTGAGTGAGAGTGAGTAGACAAAATGTTATCAGAGAAGGTGCAAGATGGTTTGAACGAGGTTGAGTGGTAAGGAGAATGAATAAGCCAAGAAGAACCCATCCTTCCTCCACCCACCTTTCACAGCAGCATCCTCCTTTCAAAGCTGCCCGAATCTCCTCAAACCTGCCCGAGCCGGGCTCCAGCCCACCCTGCACCAGCTGCTGCATGGTCTCGTCAATATCCCCGGGCAGGTCGTAACTTTCCATGTGCCCAGCGACGCAGCACGAGAGGCGCACGTTATTGAGCGTCTGCTTGGCCTGCTTCAAGTTCCGGGGGTTTAAGAGCGACTCCTCGTGGGATGGATCCATCCAATCAGCGAGCAGCAGGTTTCGCTGAACTGTCTCGACAAACTCATTGTAGGATGCAGCGTGCTGGGGGGAGAAGGAGAGAAGCTTCACCTGTGGAATAAAGAGGGAGGGAAAGAGGTAGAGGACAGAGGAGAGAGTGGGAGAAGCTGTGTGTGAATGGAGAGACACGTTGCGCTGAACGGTTTCGACAAACTCGTTGTAGGACGCAGCGTGCTGGGGGGAGAAGGAGAGAAGCTTCACCTGTGGAATAAAGAGGGGGGGAAAGAGGTAGAGGACAGAGGAGAGAGTGGGAGAAGCTGTGTGTGAATGGAGAGACACGTTGCGCTGAACGGTTTCGACAAACACGTTGTAGGACGCAGCGTGCTGGGGGGAGAAAGAGAGAAGCTTCACCTGTGGAGTGGGAAGAAGAGGAGAGGCGGAGACAAGCACATCGCCTTTCAGCTTCAGAGCTTCTAATCAATGAAATAACATCCCAGGCACATGCTCCGAGTCAGTCAGCATCACCTGCACCAGGTGCTGCCTGCCCACTGCTGGCCTATCAAGCCCTCACCGCCCTCTGATCTGAACCACCTTCCCTCCGCACGCACAGATGGTCACCCCCCTTCCTCGAACAGCGCGGGATGGAAAGCACGTCCTTCTTCTGCCCCAGGAACATGCACCGAGTTAACACCTGCACCAGTCGCTGCCTGCCCTTAAGCATATCAGCCCAGCCCCTCAATGCCCACATTATTTTAGCCTATCAACCCACCTTCCTGTCACAGCGTGGAATGGAATGAACGTCCTTCTTCTGCCCCAGGAACATGCACCGAGTCAACACCTGCACCAGTCGCTGCCTCCCCTCAGGCCTGCCTGCTTCGAATGGCTTCTGAACCGCCCGCTCCCACACGCCCTGCTGCCGGCCGTAGATGGGCTCGTGCAGGAAGGAGAGCAGCGGGAAGAGATGGGCCACCTGCACAGAGGGGAGAAAATAGGGAGAAAATGGGTGATGTGAGTGTAGGGGTACCGCCTCCCACACGCCCTGCTGCCAGCCGTAGATGGGCTCGTGCAGGAAGGAGAGCAGCGGGAAGAGATGTGCTACCTGCAGGGATTGAGAGGCAGGGTGAAGGGGGGCAAGAGGAGGATGGGGAAAGAAAGGGGAGGCATGTGAAGAGAGGGTTGATATTTTCCCACACGTCCTGCTGCCGTCCGTAAATGGTTAAGACTTGAGTGCTAGGAGTGGTGGGAAGTGGTGGGGAGTGGCGGAGAGTGGTGGGAGTAGTCGGAGCAGCAAGAGGAGCGACTAACCTGGCTGGTGGGGGTGCTGGGGGTGGGCGTGCCTGTGAGAATCCACCTCCGTGCTGCCCTGAGCGCCACGGCCATGCGCAGCTTATTGGTGGCTGCCAGGCTGGCACCCAGCGTGTGCCCCTCGTCCAGAATCACTCTCAGCCAATGGATGCGCAGCAGCGGGGACGTGATCCGACGGCTCTCCTTCACTCCCAGCCGGACCCGCTTCCTCGCCTCCCGCTGAAGCCGCCGACCGCCGTCCTGCCATCCATGAGACGACCATCCGGGTGGCTCTGCTTGTCTGCATCTGGGAGTGCGTCCCCTTAGAGAACCCAACTGGTGGGTGATGTTTGTCTGATCTGCTTGTCCCTCCCACCTTCTTTTGACCCCCCTCCTACTCCGATCTCCCAATCTAGCTCCTCCAGCTCTCTGCATCATTTGCTCCTCCAATCTACTCCGATCTCCCTCCGTTGCTTTCTTATCTTGTTCCGCACGTTCCCTTGTCCCTGCACCCTCCTCTCCTTCCTCTTCCTTCCCTTGGTCCTCCTCACCCTCTTCCTCCTCTCCCTCCTCCTCCTCGTCCTCTGTATTACACCACATACCCTCACTCCCAAACCCCTCACTCTCACTCGCCCAATCCCCCTCCTCCCCCCTCCATCCCATCTCTCCATCCTCCCCTCCCCCCCACTCCACACTCAGCCTGCTAAACGTGGTTACCACCACATCATAATCCCACGCCAAGCTGTGGACAGCTGGCGCCTTCTGATTGGCCCCGTCATACACAAACACGCGCAGAGCCCCCGGTGCCGCGTGGCGGGAGATCTGCGTCAGCCAATGGCTGACGAGCGTGGTGGGGACCACAATCAGAGTAGCAGACGAGACGAAATGGTAATCCCTTGGTGCCACGTCAGCACTACTAGCAGCAGCAGCAGCAGCAGCAGCAGCACTATCGCTGCTACCACAGGTAACAGTGCTAACTGTAAACATATCCCCCTTTCGCCTTACCCCACCTCCCTGCTCTTTCTGCTTTCTCTGCCGTTTCTCTCCCCCCTGCACCTCCTTCCCTACCTGCCCTCTCTGCCCTCCCGGCCCTCCCTGCCCCTCAAAAATCGCGAGAGCGTGGCGGAAGGAAGAAAAGTCAAAGGTGAGGTGGGGCGAGAGGGAGGGAGGCAGCACCCACGACCCTCCAGACGCACCACGCGCACTCTGGTAGGGGCTGGCCCTTTGCCTGCCTCGCCTGCCTCTCCCTCCTGTGCCTCCTGCTCCTGCCGCTCCCACCGCTCCTCCTGCTCCGCCTGCTCTTCCTCCTCCTTCTCCTCCTCCTCCCTCAACATCATCAGCAGCAACAGCGCCATCGACATCAAGAATCGGATCCCCAGCAGCAGCGCTTGCAATTGGTACAGCATCAGAGACATGAGACTTTTGAGGCGCCTCAATTGGTACAGCATCAGAGACATGAGACTTTTGAGGCGCCTCAATTGGTACAGCATCAGAGACATGAGACTTTTGAGGCGCCTCAATTGGTACAGCATCAGAGACATGAGACTTTTGAGGCGCCTCAATTGGCACAGCATCAGAGACATGAGACTTTTGAGGCGCCTCAATTGGTACAGCATCAGAGACATGAGACTTTTGAGGCGCCTCAATTGGTACAGCATCAGAGACATGAGACTTTTGAGGCGCCTCAATTGGTACAGCATCAGAGACATGACACGAGTTTCCCCGGGTGTTGTCTCGCACACCGCCCACACCCACACCGCCAAGACAGCCACCAGCAGCAGCAGCGCTTGCCCTTGTCGTTGGCATTACAGCACCAGAGACATGAGACGAGTTCCCACCAGTGCTGTCACTCACACCGCCAAGACTACCAGTCAACATCTGCAGGCCAGACAGTGCATTAAAGCCCGAGAGCACATCCAGCCCTGTCAGCCCAGAGCCTGTCTCTGCTGTCACTCCTGCCTCTGCTGTCACTGCTGCTGCACCACTACCTCCTCCTCGTCCTCCTCCACCTCCTCTTCCTCCTCCACCTCCCCCCCTTACTCGTGGCCCATTTCCTCCTCCTCCTGCTCCTCTGCTGCCGCCACTGACTCTCCTCCCTCCTCCTCCATTTCCACCCCCTCGCACTCGTCCTCCCCTTGCTGTGTGTCCAGGTGTGTGGGCCGAGGCAGGCAGCCACACAAGCCCGAGGGAGGCGAGCAGGTGCGAGCAGCACTCACTACGCCCCACACACCCCGGGGGAACCAGCCCTTTTCTTCTCACATCCCTCCCTTCCTCTGCTTCACTGCCCTTGCGGCTGCTGCCACCACCCCTGTTGACCTTTTCTGCTCGTCTCCCTCCTCCCCTCTCGACTTTTCTCCCTCTTCCTCCCGCCACTCCTCTCCCTCGTCCTTTGTCTGCTCCTCCAATATCCTCCTCCCCAGCCCCACCAGTATCAGCAACCAGCCTCGCTGCTTCTCCAGGACCAATCCGAGCAAGCCACCTCACCCCTTGCTCCACGTCACTCCACTCCAACTCCGACTCAGCCCGCCGAAACCCGCCCTTGATCCTCTCCACGAATAGTGAAACATTTGTGGGCAGCCCGCCGTCAAAAGCTTCCTCAACCGGGCAGAATCCAGGCAACGAGGAAATGTCTGAGTCAGCACTAGCAGATTCCTCTGGGTTGGCGCAAACCCGCCGGGCAGGGTCAGGGTTTAACCCACAGAACCACAACTGGTCGTCCGGATAGGTGTAGCTCCCGGGAACCTTCCTCCACTTGCCACACTCGTCGCAGGAGAGCCATTTCTCCACAGTCTCGCCGTCTGTCTCACACTGCCGCTCGCAGACTGCCTTTTGAGTTGGCTCAATAGCCTTCTTCACACCCTCGCCGTCTGACTCACACTGCCCCTCGCTGCTCATCTCAGCCACCTTTCCAGTCACATGCTGCCTCCCTGCTTCTTGATCGCCCTTTACAGTCACGCCCTGCCAGTCTGCTTCTTGTTCATCCTTTACAGTCACATGCTGCCAGCCTGTGTCTTGCCCATCCGCCTCTGCCCTTTGTCCTCCCTCCTCCTCCACCATCATCCCCCTGCCCTCCTCCTTCCCCCTCTTGCCCCGTACCCCTAACCCGCAGCTCCGTGTTACCACTCCCACATTCTTCTCGTTGACCCTCATTCCCTTTTCTGATTCTTTCCGCCCGTTTTCCCCTTGGTCCATGCCCCCAATCTCCTTCTCCACCTTCTCCCCCTTGTCCACTTCCCTACAATCCCCCTTATTCTCTTGCCCTTTCTCCCCATCAACCACAACCTTACAATCCCCCTTATCCCCTTCCTTCACCATTTCTGCGTCCTCCACCCGAACCTCTAGTCCACACACACGCACCGCTGCCGCCCCGCGCTTGGGCATCCCACCCTCTAGCACCGCTTCTAGCACCTTGCTTGATTGAGAAGCCTCAACAATCTTCTCTCCACGAGCACGCACTGCTGTGCGCCTGCGTTTGGGTGTCCCGCCCCCAAGAACCGTTTCAGCCACTCTATCTGCATCGCTTGAAACATGGCCCAAACTCCCTGCATGCACCATTCCTGCTGCACCCACTGCTGCACTCTTCAACCCTTCACCGCATTCCGAACCCCTGCCCTTCACATCTATTCTTCTGCTGCTCCTTCTGCGATCATCAATCACAGCTTCCTTTACCTTCCCTGCAGCTGCCCCCCTCGCCCTGATCCTGTGTTTGCCACTCACGGCCTCTTTGCCACTCACTAGTTCCCCTAGGCTCTTGTACTTGCATGCTCTAAAGCAGGTGAACAGGCAGCGTTTAGTAGTACACATGCCAGCACCATCAGCAGCAGCATCTGCACCATCAGCAGCAGCATCAGCAGCATCAGAAACACACAAGCGGCCACCCATATTGGACAAGACACTCCCATCCTTTTCATCACCCTGCTTCTGCCACCCCTGCTGCTGCTGCTGCTGCTGCTGCCGCTGCTGCTGCGTTTGTTGTGAATCTCTTGGGGGAGGGTAAAGAATACGTACACACCCTTGGGAAGAACGGGAATGAGCAGACGAGGGAGTGATCCGTGCAGAGGAACGAGAGGCCCTTGTGGAGAGACGAGAGGCCGGTGTTGAGTCCTTGGCACGAGCAGAAGAGCCAACTCGCCTGTCACTGCCCGCACTAGAAGGCACCCAATCATCATCCTCCCTCTCACCACTCCCTCTCTCCTCCTCCTCCTCCTCCTCCTCCTCTGACTCTTCCTCCTCTTCTTCCCAGCGCCTCCTGCTGTCCTGGAACCTCACCCCATCTTCATTTTCACCGTCTTCCTTACCCTTTTCTTTACCTTCCTCCTTACCCTCCTCTTTACCCTCTGAGTGACCGTTCCCCCACCCAAAAAAATCATCACCAGCAGCACACTCACCATTCCTTCTGCCACCTCCAACATGGTGCCTTCTTTTCCTTCTCCTCCCAGCCTCCTCCTCCTCTCCATCGCCACCACCCTTGCCTGCATCATCACTCCAAGAAACATCTACTGCCTGCCTCCCATCCTCTTTGCCTGCCTCGATGCTGTTCTTCCTAGCCTGAGTGCCTGTCACAAGAGTCCCATCATCAGCAACCCCAGGGGTGTCAGCAGCACAAATCCCTGATCTCCGATTCCCCTGCACACCACTCTGGACCACTCTCCATCCCAGCACAGCTCCCACGTCCATCTGACTCTTGAAATTCGGCGCTTGCAAGGCAAGCACCATTGCAATTGGATCCTTTCCCCATCGGCTCATTGCACTCTTTGATGCCTCCACTGCTGTCTCCCGTGCCGCCCCCTCAGATACCTCCTTTGCTGCACTGCCCCTCCTGCCAGCACTCCATCTGGGTCTCCTCGACCCCTTCCCTCCGCACTTCACTCCCCTGCTCTTCTCCTCTCCCTCACTCTTGAACTCTCCCTCACTCTTCTCCTCTCCCTTGGTCTCTAGCTCTCCCTCGCTCTTTCCCTCTGCCCTAAGCTTCATCCCTCCCTGGCCCTTTTTCTCTCCCTCGTGCTTCTCTCCTCCCTCACTCCTCTCCCTTCCCTCACCCGTCTCACGTCGCCCGCCCTTCGCCCTACTCCCAGCAGTCTCCTCCCCTCCCTCTGCCCCACCTCTCAAATCTGTCCCATCTTTCAACTCTGCCCCGCCACCCCCCCCTTTCACCACACTGCCCCCAGTTAACAGCTCCTCTGTCATCCCACTCCCACCTCCCTGCACCGCATCACACCTGTTGCCACTCCCTTGCACCACACTTAACACATTCCTATGAGCCTCCTTCTCCTCTAAACCGCACTCTATCATCCCCTTCTCCCCCCTAATCTCATCCACGCCATCCTGCCCTCCCCCAATCGCATTGCCATGCCACGCCTGTTTCACCCGCGCCCCCCCACCCTCCCACTCCTTCCCTTTCCTTGCCTCTCCAGGTAGAAGCTTCTCGTAATACCCCAGCAACCCTCCTTTCCACACCCCTCCTCCTCCTCTTCCTCCTCTCCACCCGTCCACCCCATTCTCTCCCATCCTCCCACAAACCACCAGGCGGCAACCCCTAGGCACAGCAGGCAGCAACCCCTTAGTCTTAAGAATCAGCGCCAAGGCAGTCACAGTCTTACCCAGCCCAGGCTCGTCACAAAACAGACCTCCCCGCACGTCCGGCACCATGCCGAACCTGTCCCTTAGGTCTGGCACCATGCTTAATCTGCTGGGCTCTAAGTTTGCCGAGCCTGAACATCCCGGAGCCTCCTTTTCTTTCTTCTCGCCCTCTTGCAGACTTATGCTTTCGTGCTGCTCACCTTTGCTTTCCTCTGCTTCCCACTCTCTGCTTTTTCTCTTCCCCCTTCCACTTCTCCTCTCGTTGCTCCATAGGAACCTCACCCCCCCTGTAATCACATCACACAGCATCACCCTCCCCTCACTCCCTCCATTCCTCTGCCCATTCCCCTTCACACTCCTCACTCCACTACCACCACACTCACTCCCCTCCTCGCTCATCCTCAACACACTCACTAACGGGCTCCGAACAAAACCCTGCGGGACCCCTCCCCTCCTCTCTCTCCCCCTTTCCCTCCCCACGACCCCCCTCTCTCTCCCCATCATCCACTGTAGAGCCGACCGCTGATGTGGAAAGAGGGAGAGGTGCGGCAGGCTGGGTACAGCTGGCAGTGCAAGCTGGCGCAGGCGTGTACACGTGGCAGCAGCAGAGCGGAGGTCGGTGGGGGAGAGGCGGGAGAGGGAGAGGAGGAGGAGGTCGGGGGGGAGAGAGAGGAGGGGGGAGGGAGGGGCGGAGGAGGAAGGGGGTGCTGGAGGGGGGTCTCTGAGAGGGGGGAAGGCATGGAGGGGTATGGAGGGGCATAGATAGGTGGGAGAATTTGGTTGAAGAGAGGGTTTAAGGTTTAAGGTGACAATCCAAGGACACCTAGCCAGCCATATAGGCAGCACCTAAGTGCAGGAAACGATGAACGGAACATTAGAGTGGGGAGAGGCAGAGGGCGGGGGTGTGGGGGGGGGGGGGGGGAGGGGGGGTGGGGGTTTGGAGGGACAGAAAGCAGTTTACTTACGGGTAGATTGTCGGGGCGTCGAACCGGTTGGGCAGCGAGCGAAATATTCTAGACAGGCTGAAGTCAGAGGAGTCGCTTGGAGGAGGTGTGACTGTATGCGGTGTGGCATCGGCTGGTGTGACTTTAGCTGGTGTGACTGCAGGCGGTGTGACTGTAGAGGAGGCTTCTTCTGCTGGTGAGCGGAGAAACGAGGAGGAGCAGTTCAGAAAGCCATGGAGGGTGCAACCATGCACATCACAGGCAGGCAGACTGGGAGGAGGAGATGTCCCCAGCACACCCATACCCGTGCCCACCACACCCACACCCCCCACACCCATACCTACACCACAATCGCACATCTGACACCTAGACGCACACGTAACACGCTGCGTGCTACAAGGCTGGTGACACGGATGCATGGGCCAATCAGAGCGGAGGTGGGAGAGAACAGCGGCAGTGGCAGCCCCTCCCTTCCATCTAGCAGGCAGGTACCAGAGGTCCTTGTGCACGTACACATCCACTAACACTTGCATCACCACCACCACCATGCCTGGCACTGCCTCCCCTGCACCCCCCTTGCCTCCCTGCCCCCTTTCCGCTTCCTCTCTTCCATTCTCCCGTCCTCCTTCTCCTCCTCCTGTGTCCACCGTTTTCCCTTCTTTAGTCCCTGCTGAACTTGAACTTTGCTGGGTTGACTTTTGCTCCCGTTCAGGTGTTTTGTCGGGTGGGAAGTGGTGGAAGGAACTAGAAGGCATGGCATGGCAACAGATCACCTGGGCTTTCACCTGAACAGGGTTCCGGGCAACAAACTCGTTAACACACGCCCAGACACTCTCTGACCCTCCACCTCCTCCCCCTCCTCGTCCCCCTCTCCCTCCTCCGCCTCCTCGTTCCACTGCTTCCCTCCGCTTTCCTCCCGAGCCCCCTCCTTTGCCAGGCCTTTTTCTCGGAAGGTTCTGGCCTCTGCCTGTGACACACTTGCTGCTGCTTCCATGCTCCGATTGAAGGCACGAATCACCAGCAGCACCAGCGGCAGCACCAGCACCACCAGCAGAAGCAGTACCGGTACCAGGGGTGGTAGCATCAGCATCCGCATCGTCATCGCTGACAGCTTCCACGTCTACACGGGTCATGTCCACGTCAGCATGGTCCGCGGCTTTCTCAGCTCCGCTTCTTCCGTCCTGTAACGAATTCTCATCGTTCACTGTACAATTTACCGCAGCGTTACGCATAAGGGAAAGCGTTACATCCAGTGGTCTAAAACCTAATATGCTAATATTAAGGTCTGCATCACTTATACTATCCATATACCAGCCACGGCACATTGTCTCAAACCCTAATTCTTGTTCATTACTCTCCTGACCTTCCCAAACCAGGTTTAACCTCGTTTCGTTACCACTTCCCGTGACTTCCACCTCCCTGCCAATCAATGACGCCGTGACACGTGTCCAGTCCACATGTCCAGATTCCGGAGGAGTAGAGCTCGCCTTGTCAGTGGCTTGGCCAATGAGAGAGGCCGATGGCTGAAGGGTGTTACAACCCGCGCTGCGGGCATGGTTACTTTTAGCTGTCGCGTCAGCGCGCACAGCTATTCGGTCCGACTCGGCAATACCGAGGAAAGAGCTACAACAGGTCGTGCCACGTTTGGATGAACCGTCAGCACCGAGTGCTTCGATGACTTTTTCTGCGACAGTTTCAGCAGGAAGGTGCGGAGTGCTAGCAAAAGGCGGAACTATGGCTGCAGCGGAGGCGACGAAGTAGCCAGCGTGCTCATGCCCGTACATCTGGAACTGCATTAGCTGGCCGTTTTGAACCCTCGCCGATTCCATCGCGGCTATCATACGTGCTAACTGCTGGCAGACTCTCTATCTAAATTCCAACGGAAGATGGTACTCAAGTGGAGCTGATTTTGCGGAATGCGAACGTCCTCCTCGTACATAAGCGGAAGCCGCGGGCGAAGTGGTTTTGGAATCTTGGCAGGCGTACACTCTATTCAGTTGCTGTGAGTAAAGTCTATAAGGTGAATAAGAGTCCGAATTCTATATTTAATGGTTATAATACAAAGGATGTACAAATCCACAATTGTCGTACATGAGAGTAAATGCAGGAAGATAATAAAATGGCTCCCTTTTTTCCTCACACGGATAATGAAAACACGGAAGGATCCGCACATGTGCAAAAATTGCAGCATGCGCTCTTCATTCGCGAGCGCCGATGACCGATGATGCTCGCAGCCATCCCACGCCCTTGCTGGCTTGGTAATTGGCCCAGAGAAGCGCAGCAAAGTGACCCGGCGGAAGAAAAACGCCCAGAACGAGCGCTTCCAGCCCCAAAATGTGGAAGGATCCGCACATATGCAGGAAGTGCAGCGGGCGCTCATCATTCGCGAGCGCCGATGACCGATGATGCTTGTTGTCAAAACATATGCATATTAGTATCTAGGCTATATTAGGGCTAGCCTTAGGGGGTACACAAACATTCTCGACACTCTAGTCTTGTACCCCAACCTTGATCTAATCACACACAACTTCACGCCTAAGATTATAAGATGGTATCTAGAGCCTAGAGGTCTCTAGGACCTAAGATAAGGGCCCACCGTTACCACGTTACCTCACCTGCCTTGCCTGCTGCCCGCGCGCGCCTCGGCTGCACGCGCGCGGCCTTTTTTTTTTTCCCCGCGCGCGCCGCTTGAGCAGCCCGCGCGCTCTTCGTTTAGGCCCGTTTAGGCCCGTTCTCGGCCCCGCGCGCCACGTCAGCCGCCCGCGCAGCCTCTCGCCGGCCCGCGCGTCACGTAAGCCGCCCGCGCACAACCCGCTTAGGCCCTGCGCGCTGCGTCCGCCGCCCGTGTAGCCCGTTTTCGGCCCCGCGCGCTACGTCAGCCGCCCGCGCAGCCTGCCGCCGACCCCACGTGTCACCTTCTCCGGTGACGACGCGCTGCCCCACCGTCGCCCGTTACGGCACCTGTGGGACCCACGCGCTGCCCTGCACCAGCTACGCCGCCCCTGGTGCAGCCGCCCCTGGACCCTCGAGCAGCCGCCCCTGGACCCAGAGCAGCCGCCCCTGGCCCCTGAAGCAACCGCCCCTGGTGCAGCCGCCCCTGGACCCTCGAGCAGCCGCCCCTGGACCCTCGAGCAGCCGCCCCTGGACCCTCGAGCAGCCGCCCCTGGACCCAGAGCAGCCGCCCCTGGCTCCCGAAGCAGCCGCCCCTGGACCCTCGAGCAGCCGCCCCTGGACCCAGAGCAGCCGCCCCTTGCCCCTGAAGCAGCCGACCCTGGTGCAGCCGCCCCTGGACCCTCGAGCAGCCGCCCCTGGAACCAGAGCAGCCGCCCCTGGCCCCTGAAGCAGCCGCCCCTGGTGCAGCCGCCCCTGGACCCTCGAGCAGCCACCCCTGGACCCAGAGCAGCCGCCCCTGGCCCCTGCAGCAGCCGCCCCTGGACCCCGAGCAGCCGCCCCAGGCCCCTGAAGCAGCCGCCCCTGGTGCAGCCGCCCCTGGACTCCGTGCAGCTGCCCCTAGACCCCGCGACGCCGCCCCTGGACCCGCGATGCCGCCCCTGGTCCCTGTGCAGCCGCCCGCCGAGCGCCGGCCCTGCTCGCCCGGCGAGCGCCTGCCCTTCCCGCCTGGTGAGCACCTGCCTTGTTAGCGCACTGCAGCGCCATCTGCTTGCCTCCCTGCCTGCCAGCCTGCCTGCCTGCCTGCCTGTCTGCCTGCCTGCCTGCCTACCTGCCAGCCTGCCTGCCTGCCTGCCTGTCTGCCTGCCTGCCGCGCCTGCCCTGCCCGCGCTGCTACTGCTGCTCCTTTTGTTACTACTGCTAGGCTATTGCTACTACTACTGCTGCTACTGGCGGTGGCCAGATGCAGCTCCAACGACATCCACGCGAGTCTCTCCCGCCCCAGCAGCTTCGTGAGTGGTACGCTAATTGGGGTTGTGGCAGTAGCCGTCGTAGCTGTCGCCCTGGAGCTGGTCAGTTGGGAGCGTCTGGCAGTGGCTAGCTGCAGCTGCAGCGGCGTCCACGCGAGGCACTTACTTCCCAGCAGCTTCACGAGTGGTACGCTTAGAGTAGAGGGTCTTTGAGTCCCGTTCGCTGCCCGTACGTCATTCGCACAGGTGATCGGGGTGGTCAGCCTTGCGGGACACCTGGTCACACACAGTCCCGCTGCTTCGCCCGTCTGAGCGACGCCTGGCGTACTGAGTTTGGCGACGAGGCTGAGCTCCCCACCTAGCTGGAGCTGCTTAGGAAGAGGGTAGATGTATTTGCTCTTGACTATGATGCTATTCTCACTGCCATGTATGCATTGCCTACTAGTGCTGACGGTGCCTATTACGTGTGCGTACCGCCTGACCCAGGTATAGAGCCTGCTTCTCTAGGTGCTGGTGAGGCTGCTGCCCTAGGTGCTGGTGAGGCTTCTGCTCCAGGTGCTGGTGAGTCTGCTCTCTCTGGTACTGCGCCTGCTGAGGCCTTTTACACCTTCACACTTGAATTTGGTGCTTCTCGCTCCTTCTTTCGCGACAGCACCACCCTCACGCCGCTCAGTCGGCCGGTTGCAGTCTCTCTGGCAGACCCCTCTGGGGGTCCAGTCCGTGTGACCTCCACCACTGTCCTCCCTTGTCCTGCTGTCCCGTCCGGCACACTGTCGGGTCCTTACCTCCCCTCGTTCTCTATGAACTTGGTGGCGAGTTCTGCGCTCCAGGACGCAGGTGTTCACCAGTTCACCCCTGCCTACGAGCGTGTGACACACTGCACGTGTGCTCAGACGGGTCGTCACCTGGCTACCTTCACTCGGCAGCCGGGGTCGGGCTTGTACACACTGACCACTAAGTCCCCTCAGGTAGCTGCGTCTGCGTCTGCGTCAGGTCAGTTGTCGGCCCCCTGCTCGTGTCGCGCCTTGTCGCACCAGACCCTCCTTTGGCACCATCGCCTTGGTCACCCCTCGGTGCAGCGCCTTCGCAGCATGCACCGCCGTGTCCTTGTCTCTGGTCTTCCCAGGGTTCTCCCTCCCCTCCCACCCTCGCATGCTCCTCCCTGTCTTCCCTGTGTCGAGGGGCGGCAGCGCGCCGCTCCTCACTCCTCCTCGTTCCCTCCCACAGAGGCTCCCCTGCAGACTCTCCACCTGGACGTGTGGGGCCCAGCCTGCGTCCGTGGACCGGGCCACAAGCGGTACTTCCTGCTGGTCGTCGACGACTACACGCGTTATACCACGGTCTTCCCCTTGCGCACCAAGGGTGAGGTCCCTGATGTTTTGATCCCTTGGATCCGCGCTGCTCGTCTCCAGCTCCGCGAGCGGTTCGGGACGGAGTTTCCCGTCCTGCGTCTGCGCTCTGACAGAGGTGGGGAGTTTTCCTCCAACCTCTTGGCAGCCTTCTGTGCGGAGCACGGCATCCGCCAGACGTTCACGCTTCTGGCCTCTCCGCAACAGAATGGGGTTGCTGAGCGCCGCATTGGCTTAGTCATGGAGGTCGCTCGTACCTCCATGATCCATGCGGCTGCCCCCCATTTTCTGTGGCCGTTTGCGGTCCGGTACGCCGCGCATCAGCTCAACCTCTGGCTCCGTGTCTCCTTGGCGGAGACCTCGCCCACACTGCTGTGGACGGGGAAGGTTGGCGATGCGTCGCGTTTCCGGGTCTGGGGTGCTCGTACCTTTGTCCGCGATACCACCGCGGACAAGCTCTCCGCCCGCGCTGTTCCTTGTGTCTTCCTTGGCTTTGTCTCTGACGCGCCCGGTTGGCGGTTTTACCACCCCACCTTGCGCCGTGTCTTCCCCTCTCAGGACGTCACGTTCGACGAGTCGGTTCCCTTTTACCGTCTCTTCCCCTACCGCACTGCCCCTCTCCCCCCCCCGCCGCTCTTCCTCGCTCCAGGTGCTCCCCATGTAGACCCCCTCCCCGCTCTCGGTCCTGCTCCTTCAGGTGTGTCTCAGGTAGACCCTCCTCCCTTGCCTGCGCCGGTTGAGGTCACTGGTGACTCAGGTCCTGCTCGGGGTGCTGCTTCTGGGGGTGCTGAGCCTGGGGGTGCGGAGCCTGGGGGTGCTGAGCCTGGGGGTACTGAGTATGGGGGTGCTGCACCTGGGGGCGCTGAGGCGTTTGGTGAGCAGTCTCCCTGGGGCGGTCGTCTCTGTAGTGGCTCCGCTGGTACCTCGCCGCTGCACTCTCGTCGTCGACTCCCTCTCTCCCCATAGCACCTGCGTGAGTGGTACGCTGACCGTCAGGGTCGCGCTGCTGGAGCTAGGGGCCCT